TAATTTTGTAGTCTTGAGGGTTTTTCGTCGAGTGCTTCAGATTCTTGTACTGAACGAAGTAGTTTTTCAAATGTTTCTCGCTGTTTGGTCAGCTTACAGTACATGCTTAGCATCTATGGCTTCTTCCAGCAAAATACCTGTGCCAGAAGTGCCAGTCCACCCAACCACTTCCTTCGCGTTTTCTCGGCGGGAATTTGGGAAAAAGACAGTGGTGAAGCGCTCTTGTCAGGCGTCATATATGGTTGACCTACGATGAGCAAAGAGACGTTGTGTTGTGTCACACATGCGCAAGTGCTGTGCTGGCGAAAAAACTTGGCCGGACCAATGAACAATTGCTTCCGCCGGGCCTGAGATGTTGTGTAAGACAGAGCGGGTGTTTCACAGCCGTGCACCAGTAAACCAACCATTCTGCCAAGCGAAATGTGTGCAGATGTCATAATTTTCTATTCACGGCCTTCAACTTGAATGGCGCATCATGCAGCATTATAGAATAACAAAGGCAAGGAATGGGTGAATCCAACTGTTTCACCGGTTCCCAAGCAAACCCCCGCTTATATGAGAAACAACCATCGGAGACATCAATCCATTTCAAGAGACATCAATCCATTTCAAGAGACATCAATCCATTTCAAGAGACATCAATCCATTTCAAGAGACATCAATCCATTTCAAGAGACATCAATCCATTTCAAGAGACATCAATCCATTTCAAGAGACATCAATCCATTTCAAGAGACATCAATCCATTTCAAGAGACATCAATCCCCAGACACATCAATCCATTTCAAGAGACATCAATCCATTTCCAAGACTGTAATACAATAGACATGCAAGTTCTCACAACTCCGTTGAAGAACCAACCGAAAAAGAACAAAGAACGGAGAGCTGAAGATGCACCGCCAAGAAGGATGACACCATAGCGTCCCCCACGCTTGACTGCCAAAGAAAATAGCATGCGAGCGCAGTTCAAACATTTTGAAACCACTTGCGCAAACTGCCAAACACGTGACATAAATGCATGATACACGCGGACATGCAAAAAAGTCAAAAGTGAGTCCCGCAAGAAAACAAGGACAACAGCACAAATAGAAGTAACAATTCAAACATCGAAGAACTATAACAGAGGTCGGAGGCGGATAACGATTTCAAAACAAAGATAGGTCCGCAAGGATTCACACAATCTTGCACATCCACTCAACAAGGCACTTCTCGTAAAATATATTTTTGTTCCCTTCTCATCCAGGCCAAAAACCCAACAGGGAACAATGGAAAAAACGTTATTCTAACATGAAATGATCGTGTCTGTGCCTATAAAAATGGGAGGAACCCCAGACCTAGCTAGGTCTAGAGTATGACTGTGTTCGGATGTACTCAGTTTTCACGGAAACAAATCGTGGGCTTCGTGTACAGTGTGTATGAAATTGTTCGGTTTGTGTCTGCCCGTTTTTTTATGCATCACTATGACTTCCCGTACACTACCGTGCGCCTGTGCATGCAGGCAACATACCGTTGTTATAGAGGCTTTCGGCCAGATGGACCAGCTACTATTACCTGCCGTAACGGGACGTTTGATTGGTTTCCTTCGCCACCCGTCTGCAAGCGTAAGGCACACACCTCGCAACAAGTGCATTCTTTCTTTTACTAGGTCAATTATTAGTTTCCAGGCCTGGGGGGGGGGGGGGGGGAGGGAGATATGACTCTCTTTCTCAACACTCGACGACTTAAACTAAAAATGATGTTGCCATGCTACCAATTCGGACACTCCCAGTTTTGTGTTTCTTGTCCTAATGTTTTGTGTAAGGCCGTAGTAACTGAAAGATGTTGCAGAACTCCAGTGTATCCGCAGTGTTGTACGCACACCTAGCTAAGTTCATCTGCACACACGCTCCACAGCCGTATTCCATGTGATGAATCGGATTGTATGATTGATGTTGTCTGCACTCTGCACTGTAGCCATCACCTGTCCCATACCACCTTCAATTCGTAACGGTGCGGTAACTTGGACACCGGGGCTGAGAGTTGGATCTACGGTGAGTGGCTACCATGGTTGCGGTGTGGATGCTCTGCGAATGACATCATCGTATGACATCATTGCATGCTCTGTCTCGTGCACAACACCTCCAATGATGATAGGATTGCAGGAGCCGGCCATCCAACCTGCATAGGTTACTGTTTCATCCAACTTCTTGGCGGAGTGTTGAGGGTAGTAAACCGGCTTCTGGCTTGAGAAATTTCTTCTCATTACACCAAGTCTGGCCCCATACATCTGCGCTTTGAGGAGTCAACAAAGAGTGAAACCGGGCAGACTGTACAGAGTAGTATCCGCAGATTGAGATTTTTTAGACCACCAGCATGATGTGTCCAAGCATCCTCCTGCAGATGACATTCTCAGTTTGCACACAATGCCAGTGCTTCAATTCAGATGTGTACAGCTAGCTGGATCTTGTCACGGGTGATACACCAGTACGTGTAGAAAAGCATCAAGTAAAGTATAGCAATGTCATTGACGTTCTCACATCCAAATTTTAAAGCCGTCTACATGTAAAGTGATACGATTGCGTTTGGAAACACGCTGACTAGATTAGAATGTTTTGTTCATGTCGTGCAGGCCACCAGTGCTGCAGGGTATGCCTGCAGTGGGTACTACCGTGCTGCAGGGTATGCCTGCAGTGGGTACTACCGTGCTGCACTGGTATGCCTGCAGTGGGTGCTACCGTGCTGCAGGGTATGCCTGCAGTGGGTACTACCGTGCTGCAGGGTATGCCTGCAGTGGGTACTACCGTGCTGCAGGGTATGCCTGCAGTGGGTACTACCGTGCTGCAGGGTATGCCTGCAGTGGATATACCCTGCTGCACTGGTGGCTTGCAATGCATCGGACCACCAGTGCAGCCTGCCGGTGGTATGCCTGACCATACCCTGCTGCACTGGTGGCTCGCTGGCCTAGTGATGAGAGTGAGGGCGAATCTCAGACACCAATGCCCGACTAACAAGGGCCTATTAAACAGTGTTAGCTTCATCTGGGTATGTTCCATGGCATACAGGGTATGTTCCACGGCATACAGGGTATGTTCCACGGCATACAGGGCGTATGAGTGAAGTTGGCAAACATCAGTGATATCATTCGTGGATTTTGGTACATTGATTTGTGCTGCTGCTGAAAAGGGGTGATTCCCCTTTGTTCAAATGTACAAGTACACTTTGAACACAACCATGATTATTGGTTGCTCTGTTGGCACTACAGGTGGCATGGACGTGTGATAAGCCTTATATCTTGGTTGGAAGCACAAGTGCATTTTGCACGGCTGGCGGTAGCTGGACCACACATCGACCACCCACATGTGAACGTAAGATACTTTGAAAGAAGTGTATGTACTACCCTAATGTAGATAAGCCATGTCAAGTCAATCTGCCGACAATTCTGCCAAACCTGGAAGCAACAAGACGAAATGTACATGCTTTATTACATAAGAACGTGAAGCCTGCCGCTCTTCTTCTTTGATTACAGTGATTCGCTGAACATGGGGTCTGGCAATTTTGAAGTATATTATGAGAGCCTTGATTTTACAGCCAGAGCAAGGAAAGTTGCATGGCAGAGTGCAACTCAGTTTGTACGGTGTGAGAACCTTTTAGTGTAGTAATTAGGTCACGCTTAGCATGTTCTTGTGTGGATCTCGCATCCGCTCTTCAAGATCACCTGAGTCCGAGGATGAATTGACTGGAATGACTTCACAGAGTGCAGTGTGTGTACAAGGTACACATTGTATGACCTACACACAGGACCCCACATCCGAAATAAGACCCCGAAAGGGAGGTGGTTGTGGTGGTGGTGGCGGTGGCGGCGGAGGCGGTGGGTCGCTCTTGTGGTACTAACTTTACCGCACATCACTGTCTCCGTGGAGGTTTGTTGCAACAAAAATGCTGTAAATCCAACCTTCTTGCATCAGAGATATATGCACCCGGTAGCACACAGCGTTGGGTGCAACAGGCAGGCGTTGTGCAGAAGGTACTGTAATCACACATGATCTGCCTGTAAAGTCGTGCAACCCAAGACTACAACTCTTTGGCACCTGACAGGCGCCGGGTAATGTGATGCTTGGATTTCACTGCAACACAATCCAACACACACACACACACACACTTGCCTAATCTGAATCATGCTCTTGTTTGAGCCATACCAAAATAATGGTATCTATGCCCATCACGTAATTATTACACAAGTATTCTTTTAAGAAAGAAGGTAGATGCTCCAAACACTGGAGCTCACTCTTCCTGGTGACTGACCTGACACTTGACTAATTCACAACTGCCGTCCCGAGAACACAAGAAGCATGCCACGCCTTCCACTCAACAAACGCCCGATAAAGTGCCACTCCCTCAGCACATACTACAGATGGAATCCTGATAATTCAAACCTCGAAATGCCAGCAAAAAACTTGTACTGATTCGGACATTCTAATTATCCAAACATGACCCCACAGCACAATATGTATGTCAAAATGCTCTCATGGTCACGCAGAGTTGCGCTATGGACCCTCACCTTAGACACAGATTTCACGGACACTGAACTGACCGGCACACACACACACACGCGGCCTGCTCATTCAAGCTGAACTGACCAGTACAGTGTACAGTGAACTTCGAATTACACTTTGATGACTTCGAATTATCAGCACAAATCCCACACATTTTCTAAGTATTAAAGTGGAATGCAGTTTACAGGGTTATGGGCCGTTACACGCCCGATTGGTTGAGAGACTAACCTCCTCTCCCCTGACTCACTTGTGAGGTCTGCATTCGCCACTAAGGGTAACAGGCGTAGTGGTGGCCTGCGGATGCCAAGGCTAGTTTGTGTGTTTCTGGACATTCAAGCGATGCCGACGCGGATCCCGCGAATATTATATATTTATTATTAAAGTGGAATCTGTCGGACTTCTAATTAACCGGATATACCCAGTTCGAGGTTCGAATTATCAGAAATTTATATGTGGGACTCGTAGTGATAGAAATCGGTCCTGGAAAAACTTCTAATTAAGCTCGAATTAAGCCATATTCGAATTATCAGGACTCCACCTTTACTGCTTTTAAAAGTTGCAATATCTTACAAGTAGTTGTTTTAAACGACAACAGCATTAAAACAACCACCACATCTTTTTGGCCACAGGCCATCGTGAGAATAACAAGAATAGAGATTTGAAACAACAACGACGACGACAACAACAACAACAACAACAACAACGACGACGACGACAACAGCGGCAGCAGCAGCAACAACATATTGCTGCTTCAATTCTCGTTTTGTCTGTTTATTTATTGTTATGCACAGCTAAGTGCTCCGACACGGTGCCTAGAGATTTCTATGAGCGACCTCCAGCAACCTCCACAAGCAGCCCTGAACCCGGCTGTGGTCCGTCTGCAGCTGATATCATTGTTATTGTAGATGAGTCAGACAGTATGGCGTTTGTGCAAAAATCATGGTTTCGTGAAACCATAAGATACCTTGAAGATTCTTTACGAAAACATGGAATTGGAGTCTACCCCGGTATCCCCAACCAGTATAGCTTGGTTGGCTTTGGCCGGTCCCATTTCCCCAATGACACACATCCTGTTGCCAGACAACGGGTAATCCTGGATTCTAGTGGAAACCGAGTGTATGGAGTGGATGGATTTGAAGAAGCCTGCGCTGCATTGCAGGCGTCTGGGTCACGAGAGGATGGCTACAACTCCATTAGGTTTGCCCTGGAGGATATTCCGGAGCTGCGTTTGCGCCAAACTAGCGTTGCCCCAATCGTCATTCTGGTCACTGATGAGGATAGGGATCGTCACAGAGATGCTGCTTCTCTGACACGGAGCGGCTTAAAGCGATTGATCCGGAAAAGTGGAGCACAGTTGGAGTGTATTGTGGACAACTCTTTCCTGATGAATGGGCGTGAAGGGTATGGCATGGATGCTGGTGGTGTGGTTTACAGAAGCAGTCGTTTTGTGGGCCAATTTGAGAAGGTACTCGTGACAGGGAATCCTCGCCGTGTGACTGGCTATCACCGTAGAAACGTCCGCCGGGACTACACTCATGTGGCACTGGAGCTTGGTGGTGCTGCATGGGACCTGAAGAAGCTACTGCAGGATGATGTCCCAGATAATGGATCCGTTCAGGCGTTTGTGAACCGGACAGTGGAGATGGTGGAGCACCGTGTACACAAGTGCTGCACTTGCCGGTGTACAGCAGTACATATACCTGATGTGCGCCGTGAGGAAGGTGACCGCAGTGAGGCAGAGCTCGGCAGTGCATCGTCAGATGTGCCCAGTGAGGCAGAGCGCAGCAGTACACCATCATATCTGAGCTGCCAGGCTGCTGCAACACCTGCAGACTGCATTCAGGGACGCATGCCCAATGTCTTTCGCACACGGACCTGAAGTTCTTGGGTTGCAGCAATTCTCAAGTTTAGCTCTCTCTATCTATCTCTATCTATCTATCTATCCGCTACTTCTCTATCTATCTATCTCTACCTATCTATCTATCTCTCTCTATCTATCTATCTATCTCTATCTATCTATCTCTATCTATCTATCTCTATCTATCTCTATCTCTCTCTCTCTCTCTCTCTCTCTCTCTCTCTCTCTCTCTCCCTCTCTCTCTATTTCTCTCTCTCCTTCTCACGCACGCACGCAAATACACACACACACACACACACACACACACACACACACACACACACACACACACACACACGTACACACACACCTGGTTCCTGTATTCCCGGCTTCAGAATCATGCGGCTGCAGTTTGCTACATACGCAGCGCGCATATCCTGCATACATGTTACCAGCTCTGTAGGCTACACCACAACTCTATAACCTTGGTGATTCGATTCCTGAGGAAACTGCTCTGTCAATATTTCACCAGCGATAATTTGAAAGTTACTACATGCATCTACATGTAGTGCATCTAATGTAGCAGTCAGTGTTGCTGCTGCTGCTCTGCCACCACTGCTGCTGTCAGCATTGTTTTTGCTGCTGTTGCTATTGCAGTGGTCAGTCCGGCACAGTTGCTGCTGCTGGTTAAATTTCTCGCCATGGCCTGTACGTGACCTCAAAGAGAGTTGAGCTGTCCCATTGCTGCTGCGGCTACTGCTGCTGTTGTTGTTGTGACGTTGTTATAGCAGAGGCATAGGCATCATGTACTTGCCTCATTGCCTGCCTCATACTCTTCGTGTGACCCCTCACAGTGGTGGGATCATGCTCCGCTATGCTCTGTCTATTTGCTTCAAGACATGCACCACCCATTTTTGAGCATTCCCAATGAACCATCCCGTTTTACCAGAAGCATGCCACTTCAGAGAAATAATAAATAAAGAGCTGCATAATCTGTCCCTGCGAGAATTTTGGGAAAAATTCTCGAAAACTTGGGCAAGAAGTTATTATTATTATTTATTATTATCAAATGTTTGATAGGGCAATCCCCACAGGCCTAAGGCCTTCTTACAGGGTGCCCTAGAAATGAAAGTACTGAATTACGGAATAGATGCAGGGGAGAGCATAAGCGGACTGCAGCGGGGAGTGCATTCCAACGGTCGGAACCGATGAAAGAGACTGAAAAGAGACCGAAACGAGTTTTAACTTTGGGTAGAGTCACAGACGAAGATACCTGGGAGCGAGTGCAGGAATTGGTACGAGTAGAAGTAGAACGAAGGCAAAAGCAATCAGTAAGGAGAGTAGTAGTTAACTGATTCAGGACACGAAACACTAAGATATAGACGATAGCGCACAGACAAAGGGAGAATGTGATGGCGTGCATTAATAAGGGATACGTCAGAAAAACGAGGCATACTGAACACAATGCGTAGAGCTCTATTACTAAGACGGACTAGACGGTCATGCAGAGTTACGGACAAGCAGTGAGCAAATGAGTTGCTCCCATACTCGAGTACTGTCTGAATGGAACAAATGTAAAATGCACGCTTTGCAGTTACCGTCATGTGATCTCGGACCTTTCTGAACATGGCTAACTATTACCAAGAGTCCATAACCGGGTTATGGACTCTTGCTTCCAACTTACTTACTTCCAACTAACTTACTTTCTGCTCTAGTTGCCTAACGTGCTCTCCAAATGTAGAGATGTTCGTCGAGTACGTACCAAGGTATCGAATGTGTGCACTAGGGTTGATTGTGACCTCACCCAGCTGTAGAGCGACGCTCGGGTCGAGGGGCTTGCACTTTGACCTGAACGAGACAAACTGCGTCTTGGAAGGATTCAGCAGTAAGCCTCTGGCCGCCAAGAACTCTTTCACTTTCACAATGTCTTCTGTCAACTCCTTGCACAATTGTTTAACGTTCTTGCCAGCTTTGTAAAGGGAGACGTCGTCCACGTACTGTCGAGCCTTGCAGTGCTGGGGTACAGAGGGGAGCTTTCTGACTGACAGATTGAAGAGAGAGGGCCCCAAGACGGAGCCTTGCGGAACCCCCTGTTGCTGCTATATGTCAGGCCTTGCTGTGTCTTGGTGACCACACGTTGCTTCCTGTGGGTAAGGTAGCTATAGAACCACTGCAAGGCAGTACCACCGACACCGATCTCCAGAAGTAACAAAGTTCACTCAGTAGAACTATTACTTCATGACTAACTGTGTCGAATGCCTTAGACATGTCTAGAAAGGCAGCTACGACATAATCACCTTTGTCCAAGGAGAGCATCCAGTCGTTGATCACGGGAGGGAGCAAGTCCTCGCAGGAGTGGCCTCTGCGGTAGGCAAATTGCTCAGCAGGTAGGGGTAACAGTGGTGGTGGTGCATTATAGATAATAGTACATTAGTTGGTCGTGTACAATATGTTCCAGTAGCTTAGACATGTGGGACAGGAGTGATATTGGTCTATAGTTGGATGGGACTGACTTATCTCCACGCTTGTAGATAGGCCGCACATTTGCTAGTTTGTAAGTCGATGGAAAATCGCCAGACGTAAGAGACTTGGTAAATAGTTTGGCTAAAGATGGGGCCTCATCCGTGCTTGTAGGCCTGGGCGGGGATGTTATCAGGTCCTGTGGCTTTACGACTGTTCATTCTCTGGATACGGAGCTGCCGGAGTTGTGGCAGAAAAGAACAAAAAATGCGGCGAAAGTTGCAGAAAGATGCGGAACTTGGCAGGACTGATTCGCGGAATTATTTGCAGAAAATTGCGGACTTGGGTCAAATTACGAAATTTGTTGCATCCGTAGAATTACTATTTGCGCAGTAGATCTACTCGGGAGTACGAGGTGATTTGGCTTTTTTTAACATTTGGCATTTTTTAACAAATGTGTAAAATTTGCTTTTCTTCTGGCTGTTTCCGCTCCGGATGGCTGTATCGAAACATGGGTGGTGGCAAATGGGAGCCAGTTTATCGTAGATCAACATTGACCAGAAAATTTGGTGCATATAATTTAATTCTCCCTGCCACGTTGGTATAACTAGTGGTGGGTGCTTTGCCATTTTGTGTGAAATGTGTAAAATGAGCCCCTGAATGGACGAGGAGGGCAGTGAATTGCTTCCGCAGGGCCTTTGGACGACGTCAGGCCGTCTTGCCATCACTAGAGACAGTACTGAAGAACAGTAGGTCACGGAATGCACTCTGTGAGAACGAAAACATCGCTGCGATGCTATGCTATCTATCCAATTCCACCGTATAACACAGCCACTAGTTACAAATACAAAAACACGGCTTTCGCAGCATACAATGCAGTTCACTCCTCTGTTCACAGATTAATTTTCATCCACTAGCAATCCTTGAAGTGATATCTATCAACTTCAGAACATTGATGACCGAATATCCCAGTTTGTGATGCCATTTTAATTTGTTAAAAAATGACACACCAATTATTTGAATCCTGAGAATACTGTGAAAGTAGGACATGATTCAAGACACTTTCCAAAGTGGGATCATTCCCATTTTTGGACACAACGGGCATGAAGGATAGCACTTCCACTTGCAACAATTCATTTGGACGTAGCTTGTCTAGAAGTGACTGAAAAAACGTCATTTTTATAACCATGTTAAAAAAAAGCCAAACCACCTCGTAGTGTAGTGATTTGCGATAAGCCTCCGGTTTTAACGACTTGTTTTACGGAGATTTTCCATGTGTTTTGAAATTAAATTATTCGCATTCTGTTATGCTAATGTTATTTGATATTGCTTTGCATAAATATGTAGCGTACGATACTCGATTAGCACCACGGGGATATCAGTTTATTCTACGTTAGGTGTGTACACTTTTGCTAGGGTACTCATGCATGCACGTGTCTTCCTTTACCGTACACCATGTACCACTCGTGTCCTTTGCCGGATATTTGTACTCCTTTTATTGCGCGTTGTAATTATTGCATGTTTGTACATACGCTAACTTTGGCGCACTACACATTCTGTATTTTCTCTTCTATAATGGCACAAGGATTCAGAGAATCCTTCAGTAGTCTAGACATTAGTCTTCACCATGCGGTTTGGCCTTTCGGTGTTCTTTTGCAATGAATAATAACAGTGTAGTCTGAGTAGTTTTCCTGTGGATTCCCGGTGGATTTTAGAATTGAGATGTGCTAGACGCATCAGTAGTACGAGGTGTACTGTGCAAATAACCTACATGATCATGGAAAGCACTGCATGAAATGTGTAAAACAAGTGCAGAAAACAACAAAACGCAGGTAATCATGGATTTTGCACAAAATCACGGGTTTGGGCTAAAAACGCGAAATTTGTTGTATCTGTGGAACCTCGATTTCCTGGAGGGACAGCATAATAAAGTCTTGTGTTGCCGCGTGTGTGCCCAGCATTCACTCCAACCCACACTCTCTTATGCTAGCATAGCATATCTGTTTTAGTGTTTTGTTTGATGTTCGAGTATACACGTACGTACATGTACCTACACGATCTCTAATTATTTTGGGTGCGTAAATTCCTATTCGTAGGAACGTTCGTTTCAAGCCAAAGGGAAAGTGTGGTGTATGATTTCCGCCAGGAGTAGTAAAATACCGGTATTTTACTACTCCCTGGTTTCCGCCATAGCTGCATGATGTAATGAAGGCAGCACCCCACACAGCTGGGCCCATACAGGAACAAAGATCACAGTTGCAGCATGCACTCTTGGTGCCAGTATGATACTTTAGTGGCACAACATTGCAGAAAAGTAACAACAAACACTGGACACCAACTCCACACAAACATGCGATACCAATGATTGAATTCTATCGGGCTGTCGTGGAGATCATCCAGCAAACTTTGGGAAATATATGAAAATTTAATAGTCTTTCATGCGTATGTTTAACCAAGTCATATGAAAGGGGACAAAAGAAACAGGCTATATTAAATGAGAAACCATATGAAGAGAGAAAGGGGAGTTTTTTCAGCAAGTAGATGTAAATTTTACCAATGAGTCGCACAGCGTACTGGGGTTGCTGTCATGCTTTATGTTGCTGTTGTCATGGAGACGGCCAGGGGGAACTTAAGCTGCTACAGGAACGTCGTCTGGTCTCGTCAGGTCGAAAGAAAAATCTACCACTGCTACAGGAACGTAAGAAAAACCAAAATCCACTGACCGGTAGGAAGTATACTTTTAACGGCAATTACACAATAACTACATGACTGTATGTACTGTACAAGCAGTGTCAGCCATGCTGGCCAGCAGAGCAATGTACTGTACAAGCAGTGTCAGCCATGCTGGCCAGCAGAGCAATGTACAGTACAGGCAGTGTCAGCCATGCTGGCCAGCCGAGCAATGTACTGGACAGGCAGTGTCAGCCATGCTGGCCAGCAGAGCAATGTACTGTACAAGCAGTGTCAGCTATGCTGGCCAGCAGAGCAATGTACTGGACAGGCAGTGTCGGCCATGCTGGCCAGCAGAGCAATGTACTGGACAGGCAGTGTCGGCCATGCTGGCCAGCAGAGCAATGCGCACGCGCACCAGTAGCACATGGAGTGTTCTCATAGGTCGGAAAGGAAGTCTGAAGAGACGCGCAGAAGAAAGAAGGGTAACGGTGTATTCTGACACCAACACACTGCCCAATGTTCCTTGTCCAGCACAGCTGACAAACAAGTGTGCCGCTAGAAATGAAAAAAAAGAAGCGAGTCAAGTTGCAGCGCGTGCTTCAAAAGCAGCAGCTGCAAACCGTGGAGCAGGGTACAGGGCAGAGAAATATCGCCATCATGATGGGCTCGTGTGCTGTTCCGCAAAGCATATCCAAGAGCACGACCGACATCATCACCATCATGATCATTCTAATTGTCACCTAGACTGACAGACTGACACACATTCATCATAGTGCTAGCAACTGTGACAGTGACACACTCATCATAGTGCTAGCAACTGCTCATCGTCATCACCTCCAACTAGCATGTCGTTGTCATCATCGTCACCGGTATTTAGCAAATCTCTTTGCTCTTCGCTCAGGGCTACCTGCTTGTAAGAGCGTGTCGTCGATGGGCTGCGTGGTGTCCCGCGCCAGAAACAGAAGATCCGGTTGGCCATTGCCCTGCACAGGAAAGTAAAGGGAAGAGAAATGGAATACGAATAAGCGACGCGGAGATAATAATATTATTAATAAAGCTATGAATAAAATTAACTGCGCACTCATTGCTAGTCATTTAGTCCGCTACACAGGGAATGCAATACCTCAACAAAGGAGTCCTCATGATCCATCCAAGTACATGCAGAGAGGTGGCCACACAAACACACATTTAGTGACAGGAGCCACATTGCTACTTACGGTGGTCTACAGTGCACACAAACACACATTTAGTGACAGGAGCCACATTGCTACTTACGGTGGTCTACAGTACACACAAACACATTTAGTGACAGGAGCCACATTGCTACTTACGGTGGTCTACAGTACACTCATACGTCAGTTATCTGGACACCCAAGTTACAGTTACAGGCATTCCGGTCTAACGGGCACACTATCGGTTGAGTTTAGTAGAAATATTACTACTCTTTTGTTTACTTTGAGTGGATATAGTGACACCACATGCCTTTCTCCCCATCAAAACGTATGCGATAGAGAGCTACGGATATTTCAAAGTTAAGGGCAGTGCCCGGTGCCGGACGGCCCGGATAAACGAGGTGTGAGTGTAACTAATGTGTATTATCACTTCTGACTGTAGAGCCACATTGCCACTTACAATCTATTATCACTTCTGTAGATGACGACTGCTATGACAAGCAGCACCAGGATTAGTGTGACCAGCATGACCACACCAAACGTCTTTGCGCCGCTCGACTTCTTCTTGTGAGTTGCCTTGCCGTCACCGAGACCAGTATTGCCATCGGTATCACCACCGTTACCACCTGGCCGCTGGTGAATGTGACCGCCAGCGCCCCCGTCAGCTGCTGCTTCTGTCGTAACCAGTATTGGTTCTGTTGGTAAACGCCTGCAGAGTTATGCAATGCACATGCATACGCAAACACACGCACATGCACACACACGCGCGCACACACGCACACACGCACACACACACACACACACACACACACACACACACACACAGCATTGGTGTTTCTCTCCACTTTGCCGAACAAAAGAGTGTTCCTGAACACGAAACGTGTAGTAACGGAAAGACGTTGATTTCAGTGGTCTTCCCCTGAGTAACAACATGCATGAACGCTCAGTGCAGCAGCTTGCATGCCCATGATGGAGAGCTCTTGAGAGACCCACCCAGCCATTGCCGAGCTACATGCTTTATGAAAAAGGGTCAAGAGTGACACCATACATGGCATCATGCCACACACACGCAGCACTACAATCAAACACAGTGTAGACACTTATCAGACAGGTCCCCAAGTCAAAAAAAGAAAAGAAAAAAAGAGCAGTAGAGCAGGAGTGAGACTTACGGGCAAACGTCTGGCGTTTTCCACAGGAAGACGTAATGGCAGTGATGAGAGCTATGGTCAAACTCCACACTCTGTTGTGCATGCAGCAAACACAGAACAAGTCATACGCATGGAAAACATGTCGGCTTTCCATGCAACTGCATTCAAACACCATAGCAAGAAGGAGAGCAGCAGGACTTCACACAGCAATAATAAAAGCCCCCCCCCCCCCCCCCCACACACACACACCTCCTTCCCCGCCATACTCACCGTTATTGAGTCACACTGGAAGTTGACAAGGATGCTGTGATTCCTGGTCTTGTCTGCGGCACACGGGTGGCTAGATTTCACCTCCAACAAAGCACCATCAGCTATATAATACGAGGAACAACACATCAGCAACAACAAGAATATCACCACATTCACAACTTCATGAGAACTACAGCAGTGGCAGCAGAACACTGTGCCGGCAGCAGTTCCAGCAACTCTAGCAGTAGCAGAAACTCTAGCAGCAGCTCCAGCAACTCTAGCAGCAGCAGCAACTCTAGCCGTAGCAACAGCTCCAGCAACTCAAGCAGTAGCAGCAACTCTAGCAGCAGCTCCAGCAACTCTAGCAGCAGCTCCAGCAACTCTAGCAGCAGCTCCAGCAACTCTAGCAGCAACTCCAGCAACTCTAGCAGCAGCTCCAGCAACTCAAGAAGCAGCAGCAGCTCCAACAACTCAAGCAGCAGCAGCAGCTCCAGCAACTCTAGCAGCAGCTCCAGCAACTCTAGCAGCAGCTCCAGCAACTCTAGCAGCAGCTCCAGCAACTCTAGCAGCAGCAGCATTGTCTCCAGTCCCTGCTCACCTGAGCTAATCCAGACTCTGCTCGTGGGTCCAGTTGAGGCAATGGTCTCTACAGCTCCCTCCTCGCCACGGCAAGCAGCAGCATCGGCATCGCAATGATGACGCTGAGATTCATCAGCGCACAGCTGCAAGTGAAACGTTCCTTCAGTAGTGTGAAGCAGACGATGGCTACAGAGAAAGTTGAAACAAGAAACAAACAATTAATAGAAGCGGCAGTAATGGGGGCAGTAATGGCGACAGCAACAGCAACAGCACCAGCACCAACAACAACAACACCAACACCAGCACCAACGACGACGATAATATCAGTACAAGCACAGCTACAGACAACATCACAACAGAACTGATCGGGACACTTCCTTACTGGTCACAGCTACAGACAACATCACAACAGAACTGATCGGGACACTTCCTTACTGGTTTAGCATCTTGGAAAGGTCAACAAAATTATTGAGTGAGTCCTTGTAGCCACAGCGGCTGTTGCGTTGTTGCACATTGGACCTGAAAACCGCAAACAGCAGCAACAGCAGCAGCACATCCCAGCATGAGACTTCCCAAAGGTACTAAGATCTGAACAGAATATTCCCCGACCCCACCAAACATGTAGCGGCTGCATTGCAATAAAAGTAGCAACATTAGCCCATGCATGCATATATACTGCAAAGAGGATTTCACACTATTCTCATCATCACTGGGGATTAGTGAGATCTAAACTAAGACTACTCCTGCAAGCATACTGTAAACCCCCTGATTTTAGCGACACATAGACCTTGGCGAATTTAGAGAATCAGTCAAATTCGCTGAAGATAGGGGTAGCGAATTACCTTACGAACGGTACTATCACATACTTCGAAGTACATGTACATGTGCATAGCACTGCATACCTGTCCGTGTTACTGTGTAGTAACTCAGTTACCTTTCTTCCGAGTTTTTTCCTTTCTTCACCAGTACACATACTGTAGATCTACATGTACATGACTGTACACTGTACTCCGTTTGCTCACATTACCCAAAAATACTGTCTACTCCGATTGCTAAAATAAAAGGTCGCTAAAACGTCAACAATTCAAAATCGCTAAATATATCGGTTGCTAAAATTAGGGTGTTTACAGTACCCCACACCCACCCCACCCCACCCCACCCTACCCCCACACCCACACCCACCCCACCCTACCCCCACACCCACCCCACCCTACCCCTTCCATCATCATCATGCACACGAGGAACATGCTAGCCACCTTGACCAATGCAGACACTCACTTTGCGCCAAGAGGACAGGCTGCAACGGACAGCCAGTCAAAGCGGAACACACAGTCATCAGCCGACCTAAGGATGGATCAAGACAAGACATGCACAGAGAAACTCAGGAACAGCAGCAGCAAGCCAATAACCATGACAACACGGCACCGACGATAGCAGCGGTGGCCACACCAGCACCATCAGCAACATGAGCACCAAAATCAGCAGCAGCAGCAGCAATGGAAACAACTGCAGCAGCAGCAGCAGCAGCAGCAGCAGCAGCAGCACAACAACAACGGCGGCGACGACGACGACGACGACGACAACAACAACAACAACAACAAAGTAAGCCAGATACGAAGTCTAGTACTTGTATGAGACCTACTTGAACACAGGCTGGGATGACGTCTTCTTCGGGTCACAGGACACAACGATTTTGACTTGATAGGTACGAGATGGGTCCTTCTTACACAGCTCATGACTGAAATACTCCACTACGGCAGCTTTGTGATCCTTACCTGTCATGCACAGCAGCAGCAGCAGCAGCAGCAGCAGCAGCAGCAGCAGCAGCAGCAGCAGCAGCAGCAGCAGCAGCAGCAGCAGCAGCAACAAAGACAGAGAAAAAGTTGTAACAAAGACACGAAGGTTTTAACCAAAGCAGGACGTTTGATGGGGAGGCTACGCACTTGGGCCGTCCATGCTATAAAACAATCTAGCCTTGGACGTTATGACTGCCCGGGTACTGGCAAGTGAACTTTGCAGCGGGGGGGGGGGGGGGGGGGGGGTGGAACTATCATGGTGGCAAGTGGAACCTGGCCACGCACATGTAACGGCCCTGGGGCTGGCCAGCACAGCTCTACCAACACTGGACTGCGCAGCGCATGCGACTCCGCTTTATTCACGAGATCTGACTTCACCGTTACTGTACTACCAACACACATACATGTACATGTACAGTGAAGCCTGGCAAAAGCCCAAGGAACCATAAACACTCGTATGGTCGCTATGTACAGGTGGTCTCCTTGTCCAGAATAATTTTAGTTGAAATCACACCCCTGGGTCCCGGTTGTGGTGGTCCTCTGGGACAGGTGGTTGCCTTCACAGAGCGGTCGCCTTGACAGGTTTCGCTCGTACATACAGGTAGGTGCTCTAAAAAGAATGCTGTAACTACTTGGGTAGTAGCTGTGCGCCTTCTGAAAGCCACCTAATCATAATAACAGGTGGCCGAGGTCTTCGGCACATTGTATGTACCAATATGGTGCACTGCAAAAGAAAGAAATTGACAGCTCCTAGAAAAGGTCAGACTTTTAAAGAACAAGAGCTGCAGATGAAACAACAACAAGGTGCAGTTGTGTACATGTACATGCCAGGGGCGATGCTTACTTGGGTGAAGGCGGCGGATGCTGGACGCCCCAATCGATGTGGCTGTACGGCTACCGGCAGTCTTCCAGCACACGGCCGCATCTGACGAGCAACCTGCGTAGGAACATGTACAGCACATGGACACACATACACACGTGCAAGCATACACACATGCACACACACACAAACACACATAGAAAACGGCACGGTCGTATCAGTGTCCTACATCCAGTTGCCGGTTGCGAATGCACAGGCTTCATACAAGCAGCAGCAGCAGGTGCCACATATACATTCAAACAAAGTAGAATGGGAAAGGACAGAGCATCATGTACTCTTCACGTTTAAGGTATGCAGCAGCAGCATCACTTCATAAACAGATCATACATGGACATACCGTCAACATGCTCATGGACTGGAGCACACAAGTTCAACCAGAAGCTGAGGAGAAACAAACACAAACACATCCACACAGACAGCCACACAGACAGCCACACAGAGGAATCGGTTTCCACATGCTGAACAGTAAGAGCAACAGCACAAACATGACACTCGGCCTTTACTGTACAAGGCAAACTCAAATAGAGAGATAAGTAATATGATCTATGTATTCATGTCACGCTACATCAAGGTTGCACAAGGTTCAATTTTATTTCCAGAACGAACATTTTAGAGTGACATTCATCGGTGGAATAGTCGTCACTAAGGAGTTCATTCGACTAATACAGACATACATGTACCGGTATATTGGATTCGAACGCGGGAATCTAATACCAAAGGTGAACAAAATATAGAAAGAGCAAGAGATTGAAGGGTGTGAAGACTGGGCGTGTGATGTAGTGATCTATGGTACAGACGTGTACATGCACACCACTCCACCACTCCAGCTCACCTGTCACCATTGCTGGCCTTGATCCGCCACGCACCATGGCGCCTCTCTAGCGGGGTAAGGTCAATGGTGTTCTTGGCGGATGACTTGAGCAGGCATTCACTGGCAATATTGCCACAGGCAAACTTCGTTGGCCAGTGGAAAAGCAACTTGCAATCATTGTCCGACTAAACACAACAAGAAAAGTAAACGGTGAACAGACAACAATTCAAACAGGTTGCTACATTGATGTTTTCGCACCGCCATTGAACAAATTAACCTTTTGAGCACGACGCTACCTGAATGCCGCCCCACGTCAACACCTGCAAAAATCGCGTTTTTCCTATGAAAGTAGTAGCTGTTCAAGGATCGATAACTTTACCTTTCTTTGGACGAATTCCACGATCTTGAGCTTCCTGCAAAGGTCTTGAGGCGAGGAACAAAATAGTTCCAAGCTCAGCTCGGAGCGACACCAAAAGCCCATGCTACAGTCTGGCAAACTTCACGCACACGCTCGGCAGACTTGAGCACGGCCAGGAGATCAAATCCTCAGCTGCCATTTCATTCTCCTTGCTCGTATCAAGCTCAAATTTTTTTGAGGACTCCCCAGATCCGCTGCCATCATTTGAATGTAGTTTCCATGGCAGCAGATAGCACGAAAATGATCGAAAATGGAAAATACGCGTTCTGCAGAGTTCGCAAAAAAATCGATTTGAATTTGCCGTGTCAAGTCGCATATCTCAACAACCCGGGGTCGTATCACTTCGGCGATTGTTTCTATCGCAAGCTGAGAGTTTTCTCTTGCCGATACATATTTCGATCGTGAGAATCGGCCAAGAATTGACCGAGTTACGATAGTTTGAACTCACGCGGTTCATGCAAATCGCATTTGTACGCTATGCACACTCACGACGTAATAATACGTCATGGGTGGGAGCAGTGACACTGTACGTGACGTATTAATACGTCATGCGTGCTCAAAGGGTTAACACACAGATACACGCATACACACACGCACATGCACACACACACACGCGCGCGCACACACAAACACACACACACACACACATACACGCACGCACACCACACCACAAGACAGCGTGAGCACCACAATCAATCCTTACCAGCAACATTGGCTCGCCTTGCCCGGCTGACTTGGAGCAAACAAAGAGAATTGTTGTCTTCCACTTGGTATCTACACACACCAAAACACAAAACACAAAGCCATGACTTCATAATGAGATTTACAAGCAAACAAGCGTATGCCTTCACTTGTCGTGTGCTGTATGGTCAAGCATAGACAGGGGGACACAGCTAATGCATAGCATAGAAAGGGGAACACAGCTGATGCATAGCATACTACTGAGCAATGAATATTGCACTGGCTGAAGATGATGCAGTCAAGCACATGAACACTTGACTACAGATTGTCAAACAGATCAGGCTAAGCCTTGATCACCAGCACCAGCATCAGCACCAGCACATAGCAGCAGTAGCAGCAGCAGCAGCAGTAGTAGCTCACCTCCGACACACTTTCCACCAGTTGAAGAGACGTTCAACGTGTTCGTACGGTACTGATAGCTGACAGTACGGCTGGCCAAGTCGGCAGTGGAGTGTGCCGAGCCGTCGCCACTAGCCTTAGCGCAGACGTCGGCGTTGTCACAGCCATCACTGTCCTTCACTCCCGCACCGCACGGGTTCAGGTGGTATGTGCGTTTGCTACCCTTGACCTAAATGGTGTAGATGACATCCACATCAGCCACACAACACCCACACGCACAAACACAGTGTCGCATACACAAACACAGTGTCGCATACACAAACACAGTGTCGCATACACAAACACAGTGTCGCATACACAAACACAATGTCGCATACACAAACACACAGCAACATCAGTCAACAAAACTAGTCAGAACAGCGGCAAATCAAGTGACAGGTACAATGCATGCTCTACCTGCAGACATACAGACATACCGACACACAGGCAGGCAGGCATGTAGGCATGCATACAAGCAGGCATGCAGGCGCTAGGCATACAGACATGCAGTCATGCAGCCATACAGATATGCAGCCATGCAGGCATGCATACAGACATACAGACATGCACGCTTGCAGGAAAACAATGTGCACTACACTGCTGTAAGAGAAACACCATTCAGAAGCAACAAACTGATTTCACCAAAGCTTGTTTGCATTGCAGCAGACACGATCACTCACAATGTGACTGCGATCTCCGTCGTAGAGGCGCGACAAGTCAAACGAGTCTCCACTGACACCGTCGGTGACAACACACTTCTTGGCATTGACGACGGTGTTCTTGTCCTCCTCATGCTTCAACTCGTCCGCAGTGCAGACCAGTGGTGTGATCCACTGGAAACGGTAGTTGCAACCGCCTTCTACAGATGTCAAAATTGGTCCAGGGTGCTAAATAAGCAACAACACAGCAGCAGCAGCAGCAGCAACAACTATTAAAACGTTGACACACTCCCTTTCCCAGTCACTACTCATCCCACATAAGCTAGAAGGATTTAAGCTGTACCCCAACAGCAATAAAAATGTCTCATTGCACCACTGCATTGTACATGTTTGTAGTAGGTCACTGAAGCAGTACCCACCTCGTCGCCGCAGTGAAAGCTGATATTGGTAGTGCGGCCGCCAGGGCACTGGTCCTTGCCGCTTGATCCACCAGTGTAGGACAGTAGCACGGTGCCGTCTGCTGTCTGCGTCAGAGAGCCAGAGTTGATGTGACCCAAGCTCTGAAACATTCAGCCAAACACATGAACGCACGTACACACACACGTACACACACACACATACATGCATGCATGCACACACACACACACACACACACACACACACACACACACACACACACACACACACACACACACACGTACATACATTTCAGAATGACAACCAGTAAAAAGTAGAAATCAATGACAAAACCGGTACGTAGCAAAGGGGAGCGAGACATCATAATTTTCCACTTTCACATCACCACACAGGCACTTGTGACTGCATGCATGGCAGAAAGCTTTTAAACAAAGATTCACAAATATATCATGGCGGTTACAGTGCGATGACGGAAAACAAAACAAAAAAGCTAACAAATCACAGTGCCATCTTTGCTCCTCACAGCCAGGAAAGAACAAGACCAGGGAGAGATTCACATGGCGGCTAGCTGGGGTGTGATGACGGAAAACAAACGCTAACAAAACACACAAATCCATTGCTGCTTTTGCGCCTGACCACCAGGAAAGAGCAAGGCGGGACAGGCACACGACATATCACTGACTGAAAAGGTTAGAGACACTGCAAGGCGAAACAGACTTACCAGGTGCTTATCACCATCAATCAAACACGAAGAGGCACTGAACGGGCACTTGTTGGATGACAATGGCGTCAACGCACGGCACACGTTGATCAAGTATGTGCCGGACGTTGTCTTGGACGTAGCCTGCCAAAAGGTGTCAACCAGATACAAGCACACATTGTAGATGTTTAGAAGCTTTTTTAGAAGCTTTTAAAGAGATGTGGACAGAAGTGACATTGTACAGGTGGGATTTTGCAAGACTTGAAAACTAATACATAATTTAAACTCCAGCCGGGGCGCACAGTCAAAGGAGCGGACACGGGGACAACTAATTGACTACATGCATACTGCATCTAACGGCACATGCTAGTCCTAAGCTGTATGGGTTGCAGGGCTGCACAGCCTACAGGTAGTATGGGCTGCATACAAGCTGCATAGCATGGACGCGCTGCATACAAGCTGTATAGCATGCAGGGGCTGCATGTCAGCGGCATGCGCCGTAGCAATGGTACTACAGGTCCAGGGCCAACACAAACACATTCCAAGTTCCAGCACTGCCCTAAATAAGTAATGAGGCATCAGCACGGAACAACTGTCACCGAACAAGCACATGCTAAGTGCGAGAATGACCATCACCAACCTTCCAGTTGTCGTTAAACTTGGCTAGGCCGGACAGGTCAAACACTTCACCGGACTTCTTGTCAGAAATGCTGCACTTTAACTCCTTCTCGCAAGCAAGAGGGGTTGCCCAGAAAAACGTGTACACGCAGTCTTCCTCGCGATCAAACGAAGGTTTGCCATGTGGAAATGCGGCATCGGTTGGCTTGCTATGGTCGCAGTAGAACTGGACAACGGTGCGGCGTGGCTGATTGTTGTGATGGCAGATCGTACCATCGCCAATCACCAGGCGTACCATACCATTCTCATACGACAACTTCCCGCCGTCGCTGCCTGCATTCACCTGTCACAGAAAGAAATAGATAGAGAGATGGAGAGATAGATGGATAGATGGACAAATAGATAGATAGATAGATAGATAGATAGATAGATTGATAGATAGATAGGTAGGTAGGTAGGTAGGTAGGTAGGTAGGTAGAGAGGGAGAGAGAGAGAGAGAAATAGAGAGAGATACATTAACTCCTGAAGCGTCTTTGTAGTGCACATGCTTTTTACCAAACATCTTGACAAAGAATATAATACAGTCTACCTTGCGAATAACAACCCTCGGCCGGGCATGAGAAAACTGTTGTTATCCGCAAGTTGTCGCTATTTGCAAGGTTGTTATTCACGAGGTTGAATGCACTTTATCTAACCCTTGAGATAGGAGATATCGGGTTTTGCGTGAATTGATCACCACGTTGTCATCTTTGAACGAGAGAGCTTGGAAGCTCAGGGCCCTACGCTATGCTTTTTTGCCTTGATGACCTAGACAAAAAAAAGCATAGGGATGTTTTCTTAAAAAATATCCTTTTTTTAAAACCTGGGATTCGAACCCGCACTATCGCGCGCCCTGCATGCATCCCCCGATACACTTCGCATTCATACTAATTCTTCCAAGTTGTTTCACATTGTGATCTTGCATTTGAAAGCCCTATTTGAATATGCATTGTGGCCAGCCGTCTTTGATGGCACGGTACGGTAAGGAATAGGTACGGGACAGGTACGATCGAGGGTAATACGACACCGTCTAGCTGCCCGCAATATTCAAATAGGGCTTTCAAACGCAAGATAATAACGTGAAGCAACTTGGAAGAATGGGTATGAATGCGAAGTGTATGGGGGAATGCATGTAGGGCGATAGTGCGGGTTCGAATCCCAGGATATGCCTGAAAAAAAATAGGAGAATTGAAAAATTTATAACATCCTATGCTTTTTTGCCGTCAGATACGGATAGCGCCAGGCGTGACACAAACAAACAAACAAACACACAAACAAACAAATACCAAACGAGAGAGCTTGGAAGCTCAGGGCCCTACGCTATGCTTTTTTGCCTTGATGACCTAGACAAAAAAAAGCATAGGGATGTTATAAATTCTTTAAAAAATTCTTTTTTTTAAAAGACATAACCTGGGATTCGAACCCGCACTATCGATCACGCGCCCTGCATGCATCCCCCGATACACTTCGCATACATACTAATTCTTCCAAGTTGTTTCACATTGTGATCTTGGATTTGAAAGCCCTATTTGAATATGCATTGTGGCCAGCCGTCTTTGATGGCACGGTACGGTAGGGGATAGGGACGGGACAGGTACGATCGAGGGTAATACGACACCGTCTCCCGTATCGTACCGTACCATCAAACACAGCTGGCCACATACAGCTGCCCGCAATATTCAAATAGGGCTTTCAAACGCAAGATAATAACGTAAAGCAACTTGGAAGAATGGGTATGAATGCGAAGTGTATGGGGGAATGCATGTAGGGCGATAGTGCGGGTTCGAATCCCAGGATATGCCTGAAAAAAAGGAGAATTGAAAAATTTATAACATCCTATGCTTTTTTGCCGTCAGATACGGATAGCGCCAGGCGTGACACAAACAAACAAACACACAAACAAACACCAAACGAGAGAGCTTGCAAGCTCAGGGCCCTACGCTATGCTTTGTTGCCCAGCTCATCGTGCATGTTGTTAGAACTGATTGTTTTTTCCTTTGATTAGCTACATCATTGTATTGCAAAAACGTTTCAATGAGTTACTGAAGTAACGTCTTCTGCATAGCTACGGGACCGGCGTTGACTCTGCCGATCACGGGCGTTCTGGAGTTGACAGGATGTCTGTCCTGACGTTTCCTGGGACCGGCGCTGACTCTGCCCATCACGGGCGTTCTGGAGTCGACGGGATGTCTGTCCTGACGTTTCCTGGGACCGACGGGATCTCTCTTCCAAAGTATGTTTATGCTGACGCATCCTATCACCTATTCGGCGTCTATTCTAATTTAATTTCCTCCCCGTCTCCCTATTTCTTTCCAAATCTCCCTCTACATCAGGGAGTCGTATACATAATACGACGAATATTGGTACGGTACGGGACAGATACAGGAGCCCGCAAATATTGTGGACAGCTGTTATACACAATCCTGTAGAGCCTTTGTAGTCACAGATACGGGACAGATACGGGACAGATACGGGATAGCTCCAGGCGTGCCACAAACAAACAAACACACAAACAAACACCAAATTAAAGCTGTGTGGACCCTGGCTAGCGCCAGACGTTACTGAAGTAACGTCTTCTGCATAGCTACGGGAATTAAAGCTGTGTGGACCCTGGCTAGCGCCAGACGTTACTGAAGTAACGTATTCTGCATAGCTACGGGAATTAAAGCTGTGTGGACCCTGGCTAGCGCATAGCTACGGGAATAAATGTTGTTGAAATGTTGTTGGTATCACACTTCTTTTAGTTATCATTATCTTTACGATTCGGGCATGTCACGGTGGATGCGATGTAGCACATCATAGCATCACAAATTGCATGTACAGTATATAACTGCTCCTTTGCAAACTTGCACACCATTGCAGCATACCTGATGTGGGCAATTTTGCCGAAACGTTGTAATAATTGATTGAGAAACGAGTTCGAGTTTGCAGAGTGAATGGGAAGAGAGTGGGTTTGCTCTGAAATCTTTTTTCCTTGAGATATGGTACGGAAAATTAATTTTTACACAAAAGCAGAAGTGCCATTGATCAAGCCGCTCTTACCCAATCCTTTCCACCATTCCGGTTAGTCTGCTGACAGACTGAGACATGCGAAGAGCCATGCTTGTCTGGACAGCTGCCTTCCGGCAACACTCCACAAACGCTGAGGTTGTAGGACATGCCACTCTTGTCCTGCAGAGTGTACACCTTGCCCATCAGTGCCTGCAGGTCAAACACCGTGTGCTTCTTGCCGCTCTCCACCACGCAGCTGGGCAGCACCAACGGCTTGGTGGTGGGCACGGCGGGCTGCGGGCCGGTAGCATCACCACCGCCGCCACCCTCGCCGTGAGATGGTGGGCCAATCACGGGCGGCTTGGGAATATTGCGAGTTCCGCATGCTGCATCCGAAGCCCACTCAAACACCGACTGGCAGCCAGACTCCTCGACAAGGCTTGGTGTGCCCTGTACAGGAATAGTATGCATACAGAAACCAAATTTCAACACACATGTGTCTGGACAGACGTTCACAAAGACGGTAGAATACAATATTCATCACATCGAAGGAATGGACTGGAAAAAATCAACTTTTCCGCACCGCAAAACACATGTGCGATGGTCTGCAATGAATGTGAGGCATGGTGCAAAAGAGGAACTGTGTCAATGTCATGTAAATCCCAAGCACAGAATTTCAAGTAACAGGATAGTTGGACAACGTGGTGATAGCCATGCGCACCTTGCTGCCCTGGCGACAAGAGAATCGGATCAGCGTGTTGTAATGACTGGCCTTCTTGGTGATGGGGTCGGTGCAGTCGGAGCCGTCACTGTAGCGTGCCACTACGGCACTCTTCTCAACAGTCAGCTTGTGTACCTGACCATAGCTGGAGTAGGTAGGATAGGTAGGTAGGCAGGTAGGCAGGTGGTGTAGCACAGCAGTCACATGACGACGAAGACAGCGACGACGATGACAGCAGCAGCAGCAGCAGCAGCAGCAGCACAACAACAACAACAACAACAACAACAACAACAACAACAACAGCAGCAGCAGCAGCAGCAGCAACAGCAGCAGCAGCAACAGCAGCAGCAACAACAACAATTTAGTTACATTACAGTAAAGAAGCAACAAGCTAGTGATCAGAACCATGTTCAGCCATGTCACAGCAACATCAGCAGCAACAGACATACCAACATTCTCAGGTGCCCACTACTACCCAGGCATGTGTGCATGCGTAAGCCCCCCACCACCACACACACACACCAAGACTATAGCACGATCACTCATTCATGGGTTGATCATTGGGACATTGACAGAACATACCTATTGGTTTGTTTGGAATTAACAGCACACACAGCGGCACTGAAATAGCACGGTTTGTCCTTGCCAGCATATCCAGTGTTCAGTTCTCCACACACGCTCAAGTAGTAGCGGCGATCGGACAACTTGTTGCTAGCTTGCCAAGCACCGCGATTCAGTGACAGTGGCGACAGGTCATATACCTGGTAAGAGGAGAACAAAATAAGAACATCGACAATTTTAAAAGCGTGCGTCCTTCTTCGTGATCTCCTTGTTGCATTCATTGACATTGCTCCATCACAGAGCTGGTACTGGTAAGGGGGCGCAGCAGGCAACTGCACCAAGGAAAATACGGACACAATCACACCATGTCATCCACATGAAACTCAATCTACCGTGGGGGAGGGTGGGAGATCATAATTCAATGGATATGATTTGAAGACAGGTGGGGGGGGGGGGGGGAGAGAGAGAGAAAGAGAGAGAGGGAGAGAGAGTGAGAGAGAGAGAGTGTGTGCGTGCGTGCGTGTGTGTGGTACATGGTTTGTGAGAGAGAGTGTGTGAGAGAGAGAGAGAGAGAGAGAGAGAGAGAGAGAGAGAGAGAGAGAGTGTGTGTGTGTGTGTGTGTGTGTGTGTGTGTGTGTGTGTGTGTGTGTGTGGTGTGTGTGTGTGTGTGTGTGTGTGTGTGTGTGTGTGTGTGTGTGTGTGTGTGTGTGTGTGTGTGTGTGTGTGTGAGAGAGAGAGAGAGAGAGAGAGAGAGAGAGAGAGAGAGAGAGAGAGAGAGAGAGAGAGAGAGAGAGAGAGAGAGAGAGAGGGAGGGAGGGAGGGAGGGAGGGAGAGAGAGAGAGAGAGAGAGAGAGAGAGAGAGAGAGAGAGAGAGAGAGAGAGAGAGAGGAGAGAGAGAGAGAGAGAGAGAGAGAGAGAGAGAGAGAGAGAGAGAGAGAGAGAGAGAGAGAGAGAGAGAGAGAGAGAGAGAGAGACTACCTGACCATCTGCACCAGACACAGTGCACGGCGCCTCATGGAAGGACGGGTTGCAAGCCAGCTTCGTGTACCATTCCACGACGTACTGACAGTCGGACATCTCCTCACGCATGACGGGGCCAGAACCACGCACCCCCTTGCCATCCTCACGATCACACATGAAGATGATACGCGTGGAGCGCACGTACTTGCCGTGGCACTTTCGCTGCTTCAGGTCCACCTTTGACTGCCAGTAGAGTAGCTCAAGGTTGCCATCAACATACTGCAGGCCACCATTGGCAACACCGGCTGATGCCAGCACCTTGCCATCCTTCAGCTGACACGCAGCAGTCTACAAGACCAAGAAGACAAGGGTACAGGTACGCACACAAACACTTGACATCAGAGCACGCCTACAGGCACACATAACTTAAGAGTTGAGCAGCCGCACTCGCATGCTGTTTACAGAACAAGTTACGTGTGTACTTGTGTGCAGTTATCTATTAGGTAAAGTGTCATGCCGTTAGAGTCCTAGTAGTAGGCACAGTGTCCAGCGCTTGTGCACACTGCATAGGTCAGCACCATGCCACTGTCACCGCGGTGTACACACCAAATCGCACCACTCCACTCTAGGCCATACCATTTCAATCATTCTGTGCGCCAGACAACTGCAGTACGTACCTTCTTATCTGCAGCATCACCACATGACTTCTCACTGGTCAGGGGCGAGCACACGGACAGCAGGAACTCATACGTGTCCTTGGTCGACTCATTGCTGTAGGTGAACTTTTGAGGTCCCAGCTTGGCCAGCGGTGTGAGGTCGTAGCGGTGCTGGGTAAAGTACGGGTCTTGCACAGTGCAGTCGTGTCCCTTCTTGTTGCGCAGTGCACAGGCATAGCGCGTGCGCCAAATGAAGTGGTATTCACAGTCAGTCTCTGCCTGGAACTCAGGAGCACCCTAGAGCCAAGAGAGAAAGAAAGAGAGAGGGAAAGAGAGAAAGGGAAAGGGAGAGAGGGAAAGGGAAAGAGAGAGAGGGAAGAGAGAGAGAGAGAGAGAGAGAGAGAGAGAGAGAGAGAGAGAGAGAGAGAGAGAGAGAGAGAGAGAGAGAGAGAGAGAGAGAAGCAGAGGATAAAACACAGCAAACCACAACAAAGATTTCTAACACAAGGAGTAATTGACTATCGACTGTGTACTAGTATACATGTACTGCCTAACCTTTAGGCTGTGAATACATGAGAATGTTCAAGCAGGGTTCATGTACATCGATTGACCGCAACATGTGCAAGATGCATTACGCTTGACTTGAGTTGACTTCAATGCATACATGTGCATACATGTACTGTGAGAGACCAGGAAGCATGAACAGCATGAACAGCATGAACAGCAGTATAGCAGCGAGCCTGCAGGGAAACAACAACAGGGGCGCACTGGCTTACCGTATGCATAGGGTCACACTGAAACTGGATGATGGTAGTGCGGACACGCTGGTGATGATGATAGCATTGATCGCCATTGGACAAGCGCAACTCCAGCAACCCATCCTTCAGGGCAATGGGTGAGCTCTGTGATGATCCTGCATTGTACACTCCACTAGCACCAGCATGAGCGGGCTTTCCCACCTGCACAAGCAGCACGCAAGTTGCCCACCAAGACACACTATAACACAACTACTACGGACGCCACTATTGCAAAGAACAACTGTGACACACTGCAAGCAGTCTTCACAGGGAAAGAGCTTTGGAAGCCAGCAATGATGATCTGCACCTCCGGCTTAGTGCTCCACGCCACACTGTAAATTGCTAATGATGATACAGTAATATGCATCGCTCTACACCACGAGCCCATGCATTACAAAATAAGTGTGCGTTGCAGCCAGGCATCGGGGACTGTGTGCACGTCAAAGCACGTGTGCCGACTGCTGAAATGCAATGCAACGGTCAGCCACAGACTAGGTTGCCGAGGAATGCAGTGGTTTCCTGAGCCAGTACTCACAGTGACACAACACATTGTAGCAATGCCAATACAAACGCTAACCTGGCAGATGGATGTGTGGCCATTGGAGCAGTTGCCGGAGTTGTTGAGCAGCTTGAAGTCATCAACCGCCCCGCAAACATTGATCATGTATCGGTAGGTGCTATCCGCCGGCACCACCGCATCCCAGTATCCCTTGGCCAGCTGCAGCGGTGATAGGTCGTACAAGGAGCCGTTGAACTCCACGCGACAAGGCACGGCCTGCTGCGGACAGGCCAGCGACGTAGACCAGGACACAATGAACTCGCATGAATCCTTGCTGCTGATCACGACAGGCTTGGAGCTAAGAAAGAGATAGAAGCAAAGCGCAGCATTTTTTTATAACTGCTACAAAATACATGAACAGTAGAGTTCAAATGCAACAGCCAGTATGGCATCTAGATGTACGTAACTCAAAATACCGTACACATACGTACCACTACACGTACATTATATCAACGATACAAGCTAATCAGCTGCCTATAGGGCTTGAAAATGATGAAGTCAAAACGGCCAGGGAGTAGTAAGTTCACGTCAGATTTCTACTTTTGGATCCACTAAGGTGTGACTTTGCTATTGCCTCAGTGTGTGGGTGCATAGCAACCCACTCACGTCGTATGCAGGTGTGACTTTTTCTTGGTCACCAGTTGTCACCCCACCCCCATTAGCCAACCCAGTCAATTATTTCACCGGCTATATCACCTTGCTGTGAGTAAGACCGCTTGAAATGTGCTTGGATCCATACAAAAACTGGATCCAAGAATTTTTGAAATTGCTGCTATGCTGTGACGTAGCACTTTCAAGCCCTATTCATATGGCATCTCCGGGAGCAGCAGCAGCAGCAGCAGTCCATCTAGTACAGAGGCACCAGAGCTACAGAACACGATTACTACTGGAGTAGAGTCCAAGCTGCACGTACATGTGAGTGGTGCGATCACAATTGAACTCGATGATTGTCTTGCCCTTGAGCGGCTTGCCATCATCTCCTTTGGTGGAGCACTCGGCACCATTGAGGTACTCAAGGCGCACCGTGCCATCAAAGTAGCGCAGCGTCCTGTTCGTCACACCAGCGGTCACTTGAGTGCCGTCCTCCTTGGTGATGCACGCTGCTGCAGACTTGTCGTCCCCGCAGGGCTTGTTCAGGCTGGCGCAAACGTTCAAGCGCAGCTTTACCTGCAAGCACGCACACATTAGAACGTGCAAACACAACCAGTCTATCATGCCGCCCCTCCCTCCCTCAGGGAAAAGCACCTAACAAAAATGCTATGCCATGCGTGTTGCTATCTACATATTTGCAGCAAAAAGGTTGTCGCACACATGAAACTCCAGTCCAGTCCCATCAAACTAGGCACAGGTACTGAATTGACTTTCATTTTCTCCACCGTTTACCTTCTTGTTGTTAGGATCAGCAAGCAGGTAGTCATCAGTATGATTGTGTAGGCCAAACATGTTGAACTCAAAGCCGGACTCATCCGACACGCGACACGTTCCGACAGACGGTTTGCCGGATGAGTCACCGCCGGTGGTCACGTCTGGCTTGGTCTGGCCCGACGTTTCTTCCGTCAGCTTGCAGGCCTTTGACGTCTCCCAGTCAAACACATACGAGCAGGAGCCCGCAAGCTTTTCGACAAACACAGGGTGACCGAACGTGACGCCTTTCTTGCAGTGCAAGTTGATCACCGTTTTGCAGACACCCTTGGGCGGCGTGGCCATAGAGCCCTCCTTTGGAGGTGCGCTCATGTACGTAATCTGTACTTCACCGGCGAAAATGATCTTGAGACTAGTAGTGGAGGGAGCACCTAGACCAAGGTTAGGGTTGATGATAGATCCGTAGTGACGACGATCGGTCGGACGAGTTGTCGACTTAGCCGGCCTGACACTGCAAACTGCCGAATGTGGACTAAGAACACGCACATGGGTACGCGTGCGTACACGCACACACGCGCACGTACGCACATACGCACGCACGCGCACATACACACACACACACACACACACACATGTAAGATGGGTGAGTGTGTGTGATTTACAGAGATTGTGTGAGACAGTGAGAGTCCTGCACAGCGTTGCTATCTTTGTACAATGGGCACATTAGTTTTCTTCAAACGTCAAGCTAGTGTAGTATTCGCTGACTAACTGCAATTTTGCATTCTCTTTATTTTCACTCGAAACGTATACATACTATTGCTTTACCCATCCTCATGCTCATAACAATACATTGAAAACTGTGACAAGAAACGTTCGGGAGCACAACTCTGGTTGCCATGTTCGTGATACTATTTCATTCATTGCTGCTTTTATGGCCATTGTCTCCACACCGCCCGCCGGTTCAAATATTTAAAAAAAAACTTCTACAATTGTAAGAACAGAGCAGATGGCTGGAACAGCATTCACAACACGTACGTGTACACTCACAGCACATATGACGACCATCAGGAAATGCATATCTCACTTACTGGCAGCCGTGCACGGCCATCAGAGGCCTGCAGATGTTGATCAGGAAGAGCTGAGAGCCGTTGGTGCTCTCCGCCTTCCAGTTGGATTCGTTGATGTTGGCGACGGAGAGTGCTGAGAGGTCGTACTGAATTTGACCGGACTTGTCACGCACAACACACTGCTCGGGGCTGACAACACACACATTGTTGGTGTACCAATGAACTATCATGTTGCAGTCATTGTCACGCACTGAATCCGGATCAACGTGGATGGTTCCGTCAACTGGCAGATTCTCCTTGGTCTCCTTCTGGAAATGATCGGGACGGGGAGGGCAGCGGTACTCGACAGTCACGTGCCGCATCTTGGAGGAACAGGCTGTGTCATCCTTAGTGTAGATGCTGGTCAAGCGGCCGTGCTTGAACTGCAGTGATGATGACATATCTGCTTTCACAGCTACACTGTCAGACTTGTCCTTTGGAAAGGCGCACACCGAACCATCACTCTTGCAAACCGACTTCACAGACTCACCGCACGCCGCCACGGTCAAGTTGGTGGATGAGCCGCTGCCGATCACGGTCGATGCCATACCCAGATTGGCCACATCAAACGTGTAGCCAGAGTGCGAGTCCGTCAGCTGACACGAGTCGCTGGTCTGAGCGGACTCGGGGCATGCGTACGCCGTGTGCCATTGGAATGCATACGTACAGTTGTCCAGCTCGTCCTCGAACACTGGACTGCTTGTCGTCACACCGGGCGCACACACAAAGCGAATGATTGTCTCGCGCTCACCAGCATGATGACACTTGGTGCCGTGGCGATAGCGCAGCGTCACCATTCCACCTTCGACGGATGGCGCACTGACGAACTTGCCGGTGCTGAAAGCGGCAGGCTGCGAGCCGAAATCATGAGTGCGAATCTGACAGCTAGCTGCCGAGCTGGAGCAGTTGACCGCACGTCCAGTGGAGACTACAGCACGGCACACATTGATGAAGTAGGTGTATGCTCGCTCGCCCTTCCCCGTCACAACCTGCCAGTTGGTCTCGTCATTGGTCAACGGGGATAGGTTGTACTGCAAGCGCTTGCCGTTGACAAGTTGAGAAGTCTGGCAGAGTGCCTCGCCCTGTTCCACGGCTGCTTCGCCGCCCTTCTCCATGTGATCAGCAACACTACTATCTGCAGACGATGACGATGGGCTAGAGGTACTGGCGGGAGCAGCATCCAGACTGGTACACGTGATGTTGTTCGCCCAGTCAAAGATGTACACACAGTCATCCTCGCGCACATAGTGTGGCTGGCCATAGCCCGCAGTGCGATTACACTGGAACTGGATGACGGTAGTACGCTGCAGATGACTGGAGCAGCGCTGTCCGTGCTCCAGGGTCATGGCAAACTCACCGTCCACCAGGTGCAGCTGCCGGTCAAAAGAACGGCCCATGGCATGCGCTTTCCTGGACATCCGACCCGACAAGAACACAGAGAAGCAAACCAAACACATGTTTGCATTAGCTTCGTGCTCTTCAACAAAGGAGACACGGACCGCACAGCAAATCCACATAGGAGGCACAAGCTAAAACCTAGCCCTGTCAAATACATGTTCAACTTGGCACCCAACAAGTCAGTGCAATTAAGCTCAGGAGACATCACAGATACTCATAGGTTTGAGGGAGTTGAACAGATACACAGTATTATTGCAAATTCGGCATTGCTTTCAGAGTGAATACTAATCAAACAGCAGAGCGGCGCACATACCCATTGTCGACCTGACACGCCGTTACGTCATCACAGCCGCTGGCGCTTGTAAATGCCTTGCATGGATTTAGCTGGAACTTCAGGTTGGGGCTGCAATGGAAAATATTGCCGAGCATAAGTATACGCACACAGAATGCGAAAAACACAATGTTAATCACTGTGATGATATGCGCTGTGTGAGGTTCACTCATTCTATCGGACAAACAATAATTCTCATTCTCTCTTCCTCTTTCTCTCTCTCTCTCTCTCTCTCTCTCTCTCTCTCTCTCTCTCTCTCTTCTTCCCTCCCTCCTTCCCTCTCTCTCTTCCTCTCTCTCTCTTCCTCTCTCTCTCTTCCTCTCTCTCTCTTCCTCTCTCTCTCTCTCTCTCTCTCTCTCTCTCTCTCTCTCTCTCTCTCTCTCTCTCTCTCTCTCTCTCTTTCTCTCTCTCTCTCTCAATCCCTCTCTCCCTCTGCCGTTCACATGTATCTCAGGAGGCGGAACCAACTATTTGTGATGCGACGGTACATGAACTTCAAAAACTCTCTCTCTTCCTCTCTCTCTTCCTCTCTCTCTTCCTCTCTCTCTCTCTCTCTCTCTCTCTCTCTCTCTCTCTCTCTCTCTCTCTCTCTCTCTCTCTCTCTCTCTCTCTCTCTCTCTCTCTCTCTCTCTCTCTCTCTCTCTCTGTCTCTCTCTGTCTCTCTCTGTCTCTCTCTGTCTCTCTCTGTCTCTCTCTGTCTCTCTCTGTCTCTCTCTGTCTCTCTCTGTCTCTCTCTGTCTCTCTCTGTCTCTCTCTCTGTCTCTCTCTCTGTCTCTCTCTCTGTCTCTCTCTCTGTCTCTCTCTCTGTCTCTCTCTCTGTCTCTCTCTCTCTCTCTCTCTCTCTCTCTCTCTCTCTCTCTCTCTCTCTCTCTCTCCGTCTCTCTCTGTCTCCCTGTCTTTCTCCCTGTCTCTGTCTTTCTCTCTGGCTCTGTCCGTCCGTCCGTCTGTCTCTCGCGCGCACTCTCTATCTATCATTAACTATCCACATCGGTAACTCTCGCACACACACGCACACACATGTACACACGCAAAACCTACCCAGTTCCAGTAGCCAGCACATAACCAGTGTCCTTGGCAGCCGACACCAGTGGTCTTAGGTCGTAGGTGTGGCCCGACTGCTTCATCACACACGACTCACTGATGTGCGTTTCGCGCGGGCATGCATGCTGCGTTATCCAGGATAACTCCATCACGCAGTCGCCATCAGCCGTCATGGACACACCACGCTCCTGGCCAAGCAGTGAACAAACAAGGACAGAAACAAATCAGGATCTGGCATTCAATTGTTGTAAATACTGCCAAATAACCAATATTTAGTCACCGCATTCATACTCCATGGTGGCTGTGCCACGAGCATCTTTCTACCCTCACCAAGTCTTCGGTATAGCCAATCCTCAGGCTGCAACTTTATGGCTTTACTCTGAGAATGGGCCATGCACGGCGGAAATTGGGTCACGATCGAAAGATCGAAAGCAGCACAGCGATTACGTATGTATGTAGCATGACCAAAGGCAGGCATATGGTGATACTTAGAAACAGCACTAAGCCAATGAAAGCCAGAGCACACAAGTCAAGCAAAACCTCACCGCTCCTTCTTTCGATGGGCAGGTCAAGTGAACACTGGCATTGAAACCCTTCGGACACTTTGCGGTCGGCCCGCCGGAGAACTTCACATAGACGGCATTGTTGTTCGCATCGTACATGAGCGACGACGAGTTGACGGCAAGAGGCGTGCCGTTCATGGGGTCGGAAACGGGAGCGGAGCACAGAGTGCTCTTGTCGCACGCCTTGGGGATCTGCTTGGAATTGGGATCACGGCTGATGCGCCGACACATGTCGTAGAAGTAGAGGGTGTCACCGAGCGTGACCATTGTGGCTCCGTTAAAGTGAACCAGGCGCGAGAGATCAATCAGGCCACCTTTCTGATCTAACGCATAGCATGGCCTCTCGCGGTACTGCTGCCGGCGCTGAACGGTGCTAGTGTGGCACGCCGCCCACGTGCGCCAGATGATGGTGTGGCGGCACTGCATGGCATCGCTGAACACAATCTCGGGAGCGCCCTGCACCAACGCAAACACATCCACGGTCATGCCCCATGAAAACACACATATACACACACACACACACACACGCACATGTACACACAAGTGCACATACATGCGCACACATGCATACACAAGCACACACATGCATACACACGCACACACATGTATATGGGCACAAAATACGTGTTAAGAGAAGAGAAAACAATGAACAGAAAGAGCAACAACAGCAACTGCACTGGAAGAAAAAAACTCAAACTATTCTAAGATACTCACCAAGGTCGTGCCACACCAGAATTCAATGGTGACCACACCATCCGAGTCGGGACGCGCAGCACAATCAGCCTTGTAACTCATGCGGTACTCCCAGTTCGAGGTGACATTGGACGTAGCCTCCACGTCAACATCCGTCTTCCAGCGGCCAACACGACGCACATCTTTGCCACCCAGTAGGCGCTCGCAGACAGCAGCGTCCTTGCAGCCTTCCTCCTCCGGCAGAGCAGCGCATAGACTGATATTGAACACGTTGGCCACCTCCTGGTCAGCAGATGACCGATAACTGGCCTGCCATACTCTGCACACAACGACGAGACGCAAATCAAAGTACAATGGAACTAACGAATACAGTATTTGAGATTTTCTGCTTCTGCCTGCAAAGGTTAGGCTGCTCTGTGTGAAGATACAGAGATGAAGCGGCACATGCTACTACACGTTCACTGAAATCCTGTAACGTCCTACGCATGTACCGGCTATCACAACGCACGCACTCGAATGAGTGGACAATTTTACTACTGAGGTGGGTGTGTAGGACGTCTTCAAATATCGAGATTGCTGACATCAATAATTTTCTGACGAAATAGTGAAGTCAAGTCGGCAGGAAAAGTGCGAGCTCGAGTGTTTGAAGCAACCAACTAACTTTCTAATAATTTTCTCAGAGACAAAAGTGCCATAAGACAAAGGAATAACACAAGCATTGCCTTCATTTCATGCGGATATACATGTATGCAGAAGAAGAAACTAAGCAGTACAATTCTCTTTATACAACGCATGGGTGACATAAACAGCAGTAGGTAGATTAGCGAGCACAAACACAGAATAAGGAGTAAAGTGATGATTCTCACACACATAGAAACATAACAAGTCCCTTTACATGACGTTAGGATTTGTTAAGTTTCTACGTGTGTGTGAAAATCATAATATCCCTTGTTCTGTGTTTGTTTTCACTGATCTGCTGCTTAATCGCCTATACTTCTTTTCTTTTTTTAAATAAATTTAATCGTACTGGTTAGTTTCTTCTTCTGCCTGTATCCACCTGAAGAGAAAAGCAATGAAAGTGCTTGTGAGAATTTCGAACGTTGATTGGAAAGACCCTGAAGCGTGTGCTATTCAGTAGTCTTATAATAATTGATATCACAAGTACATACGGTAAACCGGGAAACCGGTACGATCTGGAATCATTTGCGGTTGTGCGGTTGTGCGATGGGTGTGAAATCGCAAGAGTAAGCTGGCGTGCGGCTTACTACCCCACCGTAGTAATGAAACTGATGAAATGGACTCCAATCGCAAGCATTTTCCAGATGCAAAAATGGCCTGTGCACGCCAATCGCTAAATAAAACCGGCGTGAACGTTTGTTTCCTCGGTTCCCAGTAACCAAGGCGGGACAAATTGAATCCTGACCTGCAATGGACTCACCCATTGCGGAATATTTAATTCAAATCATTATTTCAAAATTTCATGAGCACTCACTTGACCTTACTTTGGTCAGGAAAGACACGGGAGGAAAGACACAATTACGTGTCTTTCCTCGACGAAAGTAGCATCAAGAAAGTGCTCATGAAATTTTGAAATGTTGATAAGAAAGAACCTTACGATTGTGTTAGTCTGGTCATTCTCAGAAGGGAACATTGAGAATCGTAGGAAGTCATGAGAGGACAGAAATCTACGAATACAATTGTGCAAATACCTAAACTGAGAGCAGGACAGCGAAAAGTTTTCCACATGTTGTTTCCGTAGTCTGGCTAACAACATGAAAAGTACATAACCAACTAAACCAAGAATGGACAAATCGTATCTTGACCTGCGATGGACTGACCCGCTGTGCCCCAAACCCCTACATGAACCAGTTGGCCCAAACCCCTGCATGAACCAGTCGGGCCACGCCCTGAACAGTCCGCTGTTTCCTTCGACTACCGTAGCTGCGTAAGTTCTTTGCCATCTTTCATACCGTATATTCCTGGTGGCATCGCAGGACCGGCGCAAGCAGTTTTCGATGGGTCCGGCCGTACCATAAGACTTTCATACTTTGCGTATGATATGGAGGGTACACATGACCCCCTCAACAGTAAACGCACATTAGTGGCCAAAAAAGTTGATCAGGCCATGGCCTGACCAACCGGACCGGTTCTGCCGGGACTGCATCGTCTACACCGGCTGTAGCAGGTCTACCCATCACTAGTGCACTACGCAATACTTAGAACCAGACAAAATTCCCATGCAGACATTTCGTACAGCGTGACTTTGCTGTCCATGGCTGCCTGTTCCCTTCATCTAGTGATCTAGTGTGAGCACAGCCTGAGCTATTCATCCTCAAAGCCCAAGTCATCACCAACTAATGAATGACGTCATTGCCACGCAGAATTTCAGAATTACAATTTAGCTTCCCCCGAAGTAGCTAACTTCCCGGCAGACTTCACCGTTCATATTGTCATAACGCCAATTACTTCTATGACATAATAAAGAGAAGAAGCGAATACCCATCTCATACACAAAGCTTTACTACGGTACTTAGTTGTGGACTTTGCGTTTATCTGAGTACACTACTCACCCTTCCAGATTTTTCACCCAAGGTGCTGGGCAGTCGGCGTGCGCCACTCTCAGCGCTTGGACAAGCAGCAACAAAGCTAATCGGACCAGCAGCATAGCGAAGCAAGATTAACGTCCCCGCCGACGCTTCCCCCAGTCAGCAACAAAGCATAGAGCGAGCTTGAACTGTCGTGCAGAGGAAAATAGAGCTCAAACAATAACAATAACTCGCAGCTTGATCTTGAATGATCAATGACGCCAGACTCGAAAGAGGTCGCGTCGATCTACACAAAAAAAGATCAGTCCCGTAACCACGTGACCACCTGTACGCATGACGTGATCGTGAGCTGAGTAAAATCAGTGAGCATGTGTCATGATGAGGCATACTAGTAACTATGCGATATGCATGTACGTAACGTAGTCACGTGATCGTGACTATCGATATTATCGTCATTAATTATTTTAATGATTTTGCACGTCGCATGAAAAAATTGTTGACTATGTTGTTTCATGCATGCTGCATGGTTACGTAATGATTATGTGGTTGCCTATGGCATGACTCCGCAAGAGTTCATGAATCATAATCGGAATCCCCATGTCCCATGTGTGTACACTCTGAGTGCCACTCATGAGTCATGTTTGTTGTGTCCAGTGACTCCAGTCAACAAAGCACTTCTCTGAACTTGAAGACTTGTGGGGATGTTGTGTAAAATTTAGGGCGTGAATGCCCTGGGCAAAAGCAACACAACGATGAGAAACCAGGGTACGATAGGAAGATCGTACTCGTACACGTACACAGGAGTGGAAAATATGTCTCCGGAGTACGAGTGGCGCCTTCGTTTGGAACATTTTGTCCTTACTTTTTTATAGCCCGAGTTTTACACATACAGTGGAGATTGGATATAATAACGACACTCCTTCGGGAGAGAACAAAATGTCACTATATTCGATCAGTCACTAAACCCGATCTTCACAAAGGACGTTAATACTATTAAACGACTTGGGCAGCAGAATTGTGTCGCTAAACTCAATCTGTCGTTATATCCGATCTCCACTGTACATATACCGGTATTTGACTTTGTCTTTTTCCAACTCACGTGGAAAATTTGACAATGGAAATTTTAGAGGTGAAACGTAGAATACGGCACAATTTGCGTGAGTCTTTGATTCAATGAACTTTGACGTAAAAGTTCACGGACACTTCTTATTGAAAATCAGCAAAGAACAATCAAAGCGCACAGTCACATTGAGCGGATAGATCATAAAACGAATCCTTACAGAAAAGTCATATTCGAGAGGAAAAATTCGGGCAGCACCGCTCCGAAGTATAGTTATTCGATCAGCGGTAAAAAGCGAAGCGAGATAAAGAATGAAACTGAGCATTGGTAGGGGCCTAGGGGGTGTATAATCACAGGGACAGGGCAGCGAGACGAGAAAAATATAATACAGGCAAGACACGTAAACTACTCTTGAAACCAGAAACTGGTTCTGACTGTCTATTCGAGAGGAGAAACAGGGCGGGTTGATGGCGAGACATTCAAGGAAGGACACTATTAACAGGAACAAAACGACTTTATACAGGGCTTCAAGCAAAGACAAGAAGATATGAACAGATATGCCTAAGGGCCATTATGCATACTATATATGAAAAAAAGCGCAACAACATGCACAAGAGCTAGGTACAAGACAGCGTGTTAAATAAGGTAGCACTATGTACGGCAAGGAAATTAGCAGTTAGAACTAACTGACTATAGCAAAGGCAGGGCCATTCGCTGTACTGTTATAGACTTGATGAGATGGATGATGACACCACCGCAACAGCTGCAGGTGCAGGTACCGAGATTGGTATGTGGCTTGGGACACCGATGGGCAGTAATGCAGCTGCAGCTGACGTAACAGGAGATACCGCTGACGGCAGCAGAAGTGATGGTTGGCTAAGAGCCGACACATTCAAAGATTGGCCCAGCTGATTCAGCGGAGACAGGCCTATACCCAGGGATGTGCTAAGACCTACACCAAGACCTGTGCCGAGCAAGGAAGGCGTTTTGGACTTTGCATGCGTCAATATATGAGACTTCAGATTGGTTGACTGAGCAAAGCGCTTGTTGCAGCCATCAAAGGGGCACACGTACGGTCGGTCACCTGTGTGTATTCTTACATGAGTTCGTAAGTTGAAGTCCAGCGAGAAACGCTTACCACAGCCGTCAAAAGTACACTGAAGCCAAAGAAACACACAGCCAATACAAGTCAATCAAATAATTGGCAAAATATAACAGCCTCACTGAACGAAGAACTCTCACGATAGCGAGGATCAGTGACTCGTTACGAACTCGTACACGAAATGAAATATTTCGAGCTGTGTAATGCGCAATTCGTGAACGAGGTGCAGTTGGATTGTCAGAGAGACAGCAACAGAAATACGGGTACAACTATACGGGTACTAGATCATACTTCTTGTTTTGGTATGATGTTTCCGTAGTTGGGACTGTGCGATCTCAAAGCTACCCACTAATCAAATAGGCCGGACTCGTGTAAACGAATCCAATCTACGAGATCTTCACGAGACCCTAACCCAGACCTGACCCATTGACTCGTCCCATATGAAACAAACGAGTCACTGAACTTCTATAATGTGTCTTACAACAAACTACTCTACGGTTTGAATAGGGGTGAAAAGAGTAAACGAAGAGTACTAGTAGATAGTGAACACAACAGACGACGCGGCAGCAGAAATGTAGCTTAGTGGCAGACAAAGTAAACGCCTTACCTGGTAAGGCTTTTCTCCGGTGTGAACGAGCTGATGCCTCTTCAGCTTAGAGCTTTCAACGAAGGATTTGCCACACTCAGCGCAGACATGTACCCGGGGTCCATGGGTATGCAAGTGCTTACGCATAGCAGAGTTATCACGGAACATCTTAGAGCAGCCCTAAATAAACACCATGCGAGGACATGCCAAAATCTCATGCCAAAATCTGACCAAAGCCAAAGCTTGTACAAGTCGTACATCAAGTACTCCGGGGATTTTTGGTACATATCAATATACACTTCATCCTCTCTCTCTTTCTCTCTCTCTCTCTCTCTCTCTCACACACACACACACACACAGGCTCTCTCTCTCTCTCTCTCTCTCTCTCTCTCTCTCTCTCACACACACACACACGGGCACGCGCACACACTCACACACATCTTGGAATACATGGAAAACTGACACAAGAAATGACCCTCAGCGTGACCAGGAAATACAAATAGCAGGTCAAAATAGACTCACCCAACCTAGCAACAGTTCAAGGCTGATATTACCAGTGAAGTGGATTCTGCAGGTCAAATATACACAGCTGTCTACGTGGGCTAATAAAAAAAGTGGCTTCGTCCAAACTCCAGAAACCAGTGTCATGACATGCTTATGATCAGCGTTGTTCCCAAGGAATATATTAATATTCAGAACCACACCCCACCACTGTGTGTACAGTACAGAAAAAATCTTACCTTGTGTGGGCAAGGAACCGTTCGTGGACCATCTGTATCCTTCCTCTTCTTCGGTGCCATCCTGCAGACCAAATGAACAGATCAACACATTAAACACATCGAGAGCAGGCCCATACCTATGGCCCGGAGATGCAAGTAACTTCTACCCCAATGCGATGCACAATACCACTTCTGCCATGTGAAACTGTCAAGCAATCTGCAGTTTCCACATCACATTATTAATAAATATATTATTAAATTTTGAATAGGGCATGCCCACAGGCCCAAGGCCTTCTTACGGGGTACGCTAAATGTTTTCGTATGGATGCGTGGAAATCTGATAGATACATAATTAGTAGGGCTCAAACGATTAGTCCGATTAACCGGTTGCAGACCGGTTACGAAGAATTAACGGTTAACCGATAAAGATAACGGTTACGCAGTAACTTTTCAGTCAATTTTTCAAGTATCAGGTCGTTGCAAAGTGTGCACTTTCGCGGGCTGTCGCACGCGTACGCAATTTCTGGGCTGTCAACTGGTCATATCTGGTCTCTTGGTGTGAGAGTATGTATGAATGAGCATGCAAGAGAATGTACAAGTGTGCGTTGTACTGAATAGGGTACATTTTTTGAATGAGTATAGTCAAATATACGGTTAAAAAAGAGTCCGCAGGATTGCCGTGGCTTATAGGTTATAACCGGTTAACCGACCGTTAGCTTAGCAGTTAACCGTCAGGGGTAAAACCGTGACCGTTTGAGCCCTAATAATTAGACCTTCGCGAAATGATAGGCACAATACAAAACGGCAAGGACGTCATACAATAATACTCAGCGTATCACAACTGGGCACTGTGATTCAGTGCATCAGCACAGTTATGGAGAACGCAACAAACACATTGTAACATTTTTTATTTCAACCCAATTTCATAATTTGTACGGCTTCCTGGAAAGCTCTTTTCCTGCTGGTCATCTTCTTCGTGCTTCCAGAACATACAGCACACTAAGGACGCTCGAGCCTCGCCAACAGTTTCCCTGCCACGCACAACAATTTCCTTTGGTTTGGGGCTCATACTCAACGTAGAACTACAATATAAACTGCAAAGAACTTCTGAGATTCAAGTGATGCAATCAATCGTCATGCTGCCTTTCACACGTCCTGGGAAATCCTTGAATGGCTTAAAAGTCGCAAAAAATCACTCAACAGAAACTGCGAATGAGTTCAGATCGAATTCCTCATTCAATTTGTCAATTTATCAGTATCTTCCTTAGGTCGCCATCGCCCTACGGTACAAAGCTCTGCATCTACGTCTACGTAAGGTGTTTTTGGTCGGTTGTCATGATGATCCATGTACGGAGTGAAAGCGGGAGCAGAGGAAATGGGAAACATAGATGTGGTAAGGAGGGGGGTAAACAATTTTTTCGGATGGACGTGCGTATCTTCCCTAGTCTGTTTTCAGCGACCTTGTACGGGCGTTGGGGTCTTCAAATTTCTCCAAAACGTGACCGTGTGTGCCTGTTTCATGACACGACCACCCGTTTTGGATTTTTCACCGTAGACGTAAACGGGAGTCGGAGAACGTAGTGTGACAACGGCCTTACCGGTATGTATAACAATTAGTGCTGAACAAACTACGCACAATATGTAAACTTTTTTTTTCCTTTCTCTTAGTGATTATCCTTGTCGGTGACAGTGAATACTTACTTTGTAAACTCTGCGAGCTGTTTCGGATCGGACAAATCCATTCCAGGCAAGCCACCTGGAGGCAGTTTTTTGCCACGTAGATATTCAGAATAGTCTGGAGCATCCTCCTCTTCTTCCTCCTTCCTTTCCTCTGAGAACCAAAAAAAACCAATGACATCAGATTACATGCACACCGAAAAACAAAAAATAAATCACTACAAGAGCATTATTATAAAAAAGCAGTTCTGAAATAAAACAGCCACTACTACAATCGTCATGTACGTGCAGGAAGAGTACTAGTAACTGCCAACCTGAAGGCCAAAGCTGTCCAACGCTGTAGTCTGCATCCAAAGTTTTGATATGTACGTTGACCATATTGCTAGACTGCTGATGCTCCCATTGTGGAGTACCAATCTTTATCTCAAAGCCAGTGTCGACGGCGTCCGTTTCTGTCAACGATACGGAGGAAGCAACAAACTTGCGAGCTGATGCATTAGATTTTGCTGCTGATTTAGCTCTTGTCGCTTTCTTTTTCCCCTCTCCATGATCTTTTTTCCTCTTGGCCGGCTGATCATCTTTTTCAGTTTCTTCGATGGCATTGACTGCATCAACTTCTATGTCATTGCCAACATTCGACGCGATGTACACCATCTCCTCTCCGCCAGAGGAGAGAAGACGGCCAAGCTCCACTCCAGATGTGTCCAATACTGTCTCGGTCTCCGCGAGTCCATGCTCAATAATCGTTGTTTCCACCTCCACTTGAGGCTCCGGTACTCCAATGCCGCCATTACTAGCTATTTCTAGCTCAACTTCACCAACTTCAGGCAAATGATCCGCCATCTTGCTTCCACCATCATGGATTCTCAAGTCTAGGTTCGAGCTGGCAGTGGCGCAGGCCTCAATACAACAGTATGGCATGGGCTAGCTCGGGTTTCGCTCGCTGGCGCATTCCACGCACGATCGAGCAAGCTGCCGTACACCATGTAGACCTACACTAGCACTCAGATCAGTGAGCATGCAGCAGGGAGTCGTAAGAATACGACTCTCTACAAGATCCTGGCCTGGTCACCGTGTACATGGTGTACGCGTGTGTCGTGCGTGGATGTATGTAATCAAGCACGCTCAGGAGCTCCGGAGGTCATGATGGCTAAATCTTGCCCGAGCTTGCAGCCCGAGGGCTGCAGGCAAGGGCAAGATTCAGCCTTCTTACATGACACGTGATCGTTGCCGGGGCCATGGCCAATAGGCGATCTTCCCGCCGCGCGCGGGCATAATCAGGCCATCAGGACCGTTTGACGTCATTTCGGGAGTTTCAGGACCGTTTGACGTCATTTCGGGCCGTTTGACGTCATTTCGGGAATAATTTTTCGACCTTTCGACCTTTGACCTTCCCTAATATGTTGCTTCGCGATGTAAGAAATGAAATCAAGCACGCTCTGTCTGTCATGATGGCATATGGCTGAATCTTGCCCTTGCCTGCGCTAGCCCTCGGGCCTACGGCCCTTGGGCTGCAGGCTCGGGCAAGATTCAGCCATCATCATGATCATGACCTCCTGAGCGTGCTTGATTACATACTTCTTACATGACACGTGATCGTTGCCGGGGCCATGGCCAATAGGCGATCTTCCCGCCGCGGGCATAATCAGGCCATCAGGACCGTTTGACGTCATTTCGGGAATGTTCGGACCGTTTGACGTCATTTCGGGAATAATTTTTCGACCTTTCGACCTTTCGACCTTTGACCTTCCCTAATATGTTCCTTCGCGCTGTAAGAAATCAAATCAAGCACGCTCTGTCTGTCATGATGGTAGCCAGTGCAGGCTGTCGTAATAAAACGACTCATCCGTGTTCCATTCCCGTGCATGGTACATGCATGGTGCGACGGCACAATGACAGGTGTCGCAAATCACACTGAGTATTACACGTGGTTTTTGGTGATTCCTGGTTAGCTGCTAGCTTTTCCCTACTCGAAGATGTTGCCGCCGCGAAATCTGGGGGTTTGTGTTCGTCCTGGCGAAAACCGTGTTTTGATCCGTTGAGGGAGACGAGAGATACAGTGCGAAGACGTACGATCTGTCCGAGAATCGGCGAAGAAGAAAGCTTCGCAGACGACCCGTAGTGGTTGGGAACAGAATGGAACATATACCAGTCGATGCCTGTCATGGTAGGGATGACTGCTACGAAGTTTTAGCCCCATGCTCCCCAGCGCTTTTTAGCGCCCGACGATAATTACCAAATTTCATCGATTTTCCATATGGATCAAAGCATAGTCTCCTCAATCTTCTCCAGTCGAGCAGAGTCTGGACGCTACAATGTCGAGACGCGAAAAGAGAACATGCATGAACACACAGGAGCATCACATGCAGCTGCATTCTGCCTTGACGAAGCTGAGAACAACACCAGCACCACGCATTTGGAAGACATTTCGAAGAAGACGAAGAACTACATATCTGCGTTCAAAAAAGCCTCTGTACTGTGCAGTATGCATGCGTGCATGCGCGAAGCACGGGGTCCGCGGATCAACTTCGTTCAAAAATCATTGTGCCACACGGGTTGTATGATTTGTGTGCGATCATGGTCTTTCTTCTTGACAAACAGAAGTGAAGTTTTTCGATCTTCAAATCGCCATAGCGTCCTTGTCATGACTCCAAATCAGCTGAAACTTTGCAGGAGGAATGAAAATGCCATGCTGAATCGATTGGTACCATTTTCGGAGGGTTTCCTTGAAAAATAAAAATTAGCCTACACTGGCTAATGATGGCTGAATCTTGCCCTTGCCTGCAGCCCTCGGGCCTACGGCCCTTGGGCTGCAGGTAGGCCTTGACGGACTATGCTAGCATAATTTTTCGCATAATTCCTACCAAAATCGAATAATCGCATAATTCGAGGCAAATTGCATACGAATCGCATAAATTGGAATAATCCGCCTGTTTGCATCAAATTCCATACAGTTGTAGATCTACAATGTTCTACAAGTACAAGTACAAGTAGATGCACCAGGGAGTCGTAGGTTTACGACTCCCTTGATAACATGCAGTCCACTACTATAAGTAAAGGTCGTAGCTAGGTCGGACGGTGCGTTTACCCCGTTGAACTTTTGCGTACTACATGTAGATCTACAGTACAACACCCTCTACAAAAATTCCCCTGTTATTTTGCACAGAACCATCACAATATTAGCAGCATATGTGAGCATAATGCGGCATAATATGATAACTTTTAGCATAAAAATAGCATAATTCTGCAATTTTTTCAGCAATGCGAAAAGCATAATTTCACGAAAATATTAGCATAATCCGTCAAGGCCTAGCTGCAGGCTCGGGCAAGATTCAGCCATCATGACCTCCTGAGCGTGCTTGATTACATACATGTACATTAGTCCATCGGCCAAATCTCAGAAAGGGCCTCTTTCGGCGAAGGTGATGCACTGAAGCTCCAACTAAACGCCCTTTGGCACACTAGCTCATGAGACCCCATAGAATACGAATCCGATTGTTGGACGTTGCCAATCCAGTCCAGGATAGTCGAACTGGGTCGAATACCTTCTTCCGATTTTCGTAATTTCATCCACCATTACATCTTTCTCATCGACTTTTTTTCGCTTGGCGAATGTTCTTGAGCCGCTGAGCAGAATCTACGCACGCTCGAACACTTGAAATGCCTGCATGTTGACGGTTCGCAAGATTCTAGCGAGCTTGGTGGAAATCTATTATTTATTTTGACATTTTTGGGGGAATCTGAATTAGAACGGTAGAAGCTCATTCGGAGAAGACGGCGTGTCGCCGCTGTCGGATTGTCGCTACAGTGTTTCAGACGTATTTGCTTGAACGTGCTATTGAGGATGGACAGAAGATGAAGTGACGGCTTTCTTGAACACGGACGTTGTGTCTACATTGTAGCTGAAACATCTCATCTGGCGTCTAGAACGCAATTATTATGAGTTGTGAGTGCCAGCTGAGCTGAACACAAGCTGGACACCATTCGTCAGCTGGGAATTTGCATCGAAGCTCTTGATAGCCACGATAAGCATAATTATACAGAGGTAACCTTGTTTGACTCAATACGCATGCAGGTGATACCACTAGTGGCACTACAATGTAAATGGTGCGAAATTGATGCAACAGCGAATATGTACTTCGTACAATCACGAACAATTGTAAGGCAAGTGGTCATGCCTGTCATAGAAGAATTTCAGCCCGGAAGTCTTGTTGTCATGGTCATAAATAATACAGGACTTGAGTTGGCTCTGGACATAAACACACTTGTGGTGAATACGGTCATTGTTGCGAGAAAAATATTTAGCCACTGTATGTTAACACCTGATGCCGCACTACACGCAATATTTCATGTATATGTATGTGAGACTCAATTGCATTCACAAGGCCGTAGATGCATGTAAGCACACAATGCTGTACAGTATAAGTAGTAGTCGACATGTGTTGCCTTCCTGCTGCACATGCACATGCGGCAAGTTGGCAACGACACATGAACTATCTGCACCGCACAGCGTGAGCTTAGAAAGGAATATTGCACACATGGTGCTATTTGTGTTCCGATATCGTTAAGCCGGTATACATGTACTAGTATCCTTATACATGTACCTGGTCACTCGATAGGCGATGCCGACTGTACTAATCTTATCCATATTACCCTACAGGCTATAGCACACTGCGTCAGATCACCATGCAACAAAACAAGAGCTTTGCCCGGGGCGAATATACACTGAAGCAAAGTAGGTTTCAACGGTACAGCACTAGTCACGATGAGGGGAGTTACGAGGATGGTTAGGCCGTGACACATAGATGATGATTGTTAATGATTCATGCACGATGGAAAATTACCACCAATGGCGATGATATTTCTTTCACAACAATGACATCAGTAGGAGCAGTGACACAACCTTACTGCTCCAAGTAGGATTTACAAGCGAGTGAAGGGAGAGCAGACTGGTCTAATAGCAGACCGGGTCTAAGCAAGGAAGTAATCAGCATCAGAGGTGAGCTTGCACATCAGAAAACAGAATGATGATGATCACCAAACACAGAGAAGTTGGCTATGTGTATGTTTGTGTCACTGTGTGTGCATGTGTGTGTGTGTGTGTGTGCATGTGTGTTTGTGTGTATGCGCGCACATCTGTGTGTGAGAGAAAGGCAGACAGACAGATAGCATATGGTGGGAGGGATCAAGGTCTGACCTCAGAGTTAAATGCTGACGGTGTGGAATAGCAACAGTGCGAAATCGGGCAGGGTGGTTAATGGCCCACACTGGAGCCGAGTAGGAGCGCCAGTGGTTGAGGGCTAGCACAGGAGTAGCAGCAGCTCCAGCCTAGGAAGATCAGCTTCTGGATGAAAATCTCCCGGACACAGTAGGTACCAAGCTTCACTAGCAGATTGCCGGCAGGGGTGCACGGCGAGCACCCGTACATCCCTCAAGCCACCAGAGCCGCAGTACTTGGAGACGATCCAGGTGCTTACCCGCCAACAATGCTGAGAAGGCACTGGAGCCATACAGGAACTTATGATCGAGCATGACCACAGACTTGAAATACATGGTCCGGCGTTGAATACTGAGACAGCGACGTCTCCTCCACAGAACACCACTCAGCCCCACCATTGCATTATTTTTGCTTTTTCATGATTTTTACAATTGTGTTAGAGCACACAGCACTCGATGCAACATTTACCAGTGACTAAATAACTCCGCGTCTCCGACCATAACTGCGGCGTTCCCGTGAGCCTGTTGGATTTCCGTCAGCCTGTTGAGATTATCTTCATCTCGTCACATGTGAGCCTGTGTGTTTCATCCGTATCGTAGCACAATTACACAGACACGATTTCCAACTCAGGCCGGTTCCGTTGCTCGAAGGGTTGGCGGTAAGAATTGCTACGCCGTCTGTGGCTGCATGGGAACTTGGCGAGTCGTCGTCTTTCTCCATAAATCCTGATCGTCACGCGAACAACAGCCACTATTGCCTAAAAACTACGACACAACAGTATCAAGCTCGCCCCAGCAGAAGGACACGAATGACGAGCGCTAAGACGGAGAAAGAGAGACAGGGTTAGCGAAAGCTGACTAGTGCAGGTACGCTGTCATCTCCTGAGGTGGTGGGCGAAGCAGCGAAGTGAAACGAAGGAAGATAGAACTTATTAGAAGGCATACGGAGGCACCAAAACCTATTGCCTGTCACATACTAAGTGCCATTTAGGGTTGACAGCTGTCAGCTGACAGCCTCAAAAATTTGAAAATCTGCTCAAAAAACTCTCGATCAGAACTCTGCGCACTCTCAAATGGAGCGCACAGTAAAAAACTCGGCGACGAAGAACGCTTCGTATCGACGGCCTGGACTGAATTCGGCACGTCCAACAAACGGAATAGTGTTCTCTGATATAATTATTCTCTACGTGCTGGGTATGGTCGCGTTTAGTTGGAAGCTCAGTGCATCACCACTTTCGATTTTGAGACTTGGCCGATGGACTACATCATGACAGACAGAGCGTGCTTGATTTGATTTCTTACATCGCGAAGCAACATATTAGGGAAGGTCAAAGGTCGAAAGGTCGAAAAATTATTCCCGAAATGACGTCAAACGGTCCGAACATTCCCGAAATGACGTCAAACGGTCCTGAAACTCCCGAAATGACGTCAAACGGTCCTGATGGCCTGATTATGCCCGCGGCGGGAAGATCGCCTATTGGCCATGGCCCCGGCAACGATCACGTGTCATGTAAGAAGTATGTAATCAAGCACGCTCAGGAGGTCATGATGGCTGAATCTTGCCCGAGCCTGCAGCCCAAGGGCCGTAGGCCCGAGGGCTGCAGGCAAGGGCAAGATTCAGCCATCATGACAGACAGAGCGTGCTTGATTTGATTTCTTACATCGCGAAGCAACATATTAGGGAAGGTCAAAGGTCGAAAGGTCGAAAGGTCGAAAAATTATTCCCGAAATGACGTCAAACGGTCCGAACATTCCCGAAATGACGTCAAACGGTCCTGAAACTCGCGAAATGACGTCAAACGGTCCTGATGGCCTGATTATGCCCGCGGCGGGAAGATCGCCTATTGGCCATGGCCCCGGCAACGATCACGTGTCATGTAAGAATTTGTAATTATTTTCTCATTGTCAACGACTCAATAATTAATATTCATCATGATCAAGTCAAGACATACGTGGATCTGATCTGCACTGTCAAACTAATAGTACTTACTCAAACAAAGTCAAAGAATGATCATCATGATGATAAGCAGAAGTGAAGGAGTAAGAAGAGTGAAGAGAGCTCGCGACGTGTTGTTTTGACGGTGACGGCATGTTTGTTACAACAAGGCGGAGCTAGCTACAGCATGCAGTACATAAACATGACTGTACCTCGTACTCCTGACTAGATTATTTATACAAGTGAATAACTCGATCCGACACACAAGCGATGACAAGGTATGGTCAGGTCTAGACGTCTACAACAAGTAGCAAGAGTATGGGGGGTTATAATTATAATACTCTTGCAAGTACATGACTGTACATGACTTGTACAACTTACAAGTACTACATAGTCATTGTAGTTTTGTAGCTTTTCGAGTTTTGGCAGTGACGTGAGTTGGTAACATGATCTTTAGAAGATGACGACGCCAGCATTGCGCTGTTCTTTGACGTGATTTCGATTTTTTATTTCGAGATTTTGGTTTTCACTCAAATATTCAGTGTTTCACACTCGTACTCTTACAGTCAGACACAACTCGCAAGAGTTTATTGCAATGCCTCGTATACTAGTATAGCTGGAGCAAGGTGTTGTGGTAGAAAAAGTCAGAGCAACCCATTTGTGACACTCTCTGCTTGCTGCACCCCAGGCCTGTACTGGATATAGCTGGGGAAAACCACGGTACTCGTAGATGGAGAACGTATCTGACTTGAGAGTATCAGAGCTGGCCAGTTCTCGATACGTGAGGCCATACCGTCTTCATTTCGAACGGGTAGGTGCCCATCATCATTGGTTATCAGAGTAATACTAATAGAGTACATGAAGTGGTGATGGTGGTAGGCCCAGACAGATCCTGCCGGCAATTCTTTCAGCAAAATGTCGAAGAATTTGAAAAGCGGAAATTGCCGGAAAAATCGGAGCAAAATATCGAGATTTTTGGGTAAAATCGATGCCTGATACTTGGATTTCCTTGTTTCTTACCCGTTCAGCATGATGCACTGCCAAGGACGAGATCTTGTCGCCGAAATAGCACTGGGATTCACTGACTGTGGATCAACATTATTTTGAAAAACCCAGGGACACGTTTGTGAAAACCCGTGTTGAGAAACCGACAGTGCGATTTTATGAAATGTTGTATGGGAAGTGGATAAAATACACGTTTTTCCGGAGCAAAATATCGGGTTTCTATTGCCAGGCTCGGCAAAATATCGAAGATTTCGAGCAACATGTTGCGGCAACATATCGAGGCGAGCGGAGCAGAATCTGTCTGGGCCTAGATGGTGGTCTATATGCCTACGTTACACAACATCGTGGACATATGAAGTTTTGAACATCATGATTTTAGACCTCCTTGTTGGGAAACAGCCAGTTTGATTATCAGCTTCTACATAGGAAGGAAAACAGAACAAATCTCTTGCAAGCCACATGCTGACGGGTGCTTCTGGGTGATGATCAAGAGTGTCGTTCTGGGCCGAGAAGCAACCTTCAGCATGGTGCGTAGAGCGGAATGAAATGCACCCATGGCAAGCTGACCGGGAGCTTGCAGACTGTAGAGGCAGCCGCACATGCGGCCAAGAATACTTCAGTGCTTTGCATGCACCGATCGGCATGGCCTGAGTACGTGCGAGAATATGGCTGTTTAATGTGTTCAAGTATCTGCTGCAACGAAGTGCGATGGAATGCTTCCCAGCGTTCCAGCTTCTCACTCTATAGAGTGATCAGGAGTCACGGTTATACATAAGGATGGGCTTTATTGTTCCCGAAGCTATGCAGAAGACGTTACGATTAGTAGCGCTTGGCGCTGGCCAGGGTCCACAGCGCCGTATTCAATTTGTGGATCTGTCTGCACAGCCAGATCATAAACATGGAGCGGAAAGCGATCTGAGCGAAGTTTCTCCTGCGAGCAGCATCCTTCGCATCACTGGGTAGGGAGCCCAGCTTGTTAGTTGTATATGGCCATTCCTCCTTATGCCGCAACTGGTGCTGGTGCACTCAGTTGTAGAGGCATTTCTGTCAAGCTTCCAAGACCCTAAGATCTGTCACATGGACGTCGGAAGCTATCCTTGACAGGCCAAATCACCGGAAGGGCGTAATAGAGAGAGGCCCCGGGAAATGATTGAAAAAAATCAAGCCAAACCATGCCTTTTGGGAGCACTTTTTTCTCAATATGTGGGTGACTCTACTGGGGCCAGCCAATGAGGAGGAAAAACATCGGCTAAGATATTGGTCCAGTTTGAGCCGGGCTGGCTCCGACGCCCGTGCGTCTAAAACAGCTTGCTCAACAGTTACACAATGCTGATGAAGTGAAGGTTGTCCGCATAGTCCCGGCCGAAGGGACGGTGGATTTCAGCCAGTGGGCATGGCGCCATGACTACACATAGGTAGCAGGGTGCAGCTTCCAAGAAGATGGTAAACAGGACCGCTGATGCATGCTGTCTCCTCATGATACGCCCACAGTAGTTTTGAAAACATGCCTAGGCCCGGGACACCTGCGCGTGTGCCTGTAGCTAGGTTGTGGACTGGAGAAGCTGTATCAACCTCAGCTCACTGGGGTTCTTCCCTTTTGTAGAAAGTGCTCAGTGCATCCGCCAGTACATGTTGCTTCGCAGTGTAAAACGTGCGGCTCGTGTCCATATCGGGGACGTAGAGGCGGGAGTGACAACGCTGTGCCATAGTGCACAGCAACCGATGATATCGAACAAGTAAACTCGTGCTGAGAGCTGAGGGCCCACGGCAAAGACAGAGCGTGCGCTGGGTAATGGCTAGAAAATCGTTGAGTGTCGCATGGATACGGAGCGGGGTGAATACGTTGTATTGTTAGTTCTTTGCAAAGCCTAGAGGGAAGGACGATGGGTAATGACATGTACTGCTGACTATGGGTTATAAGCTGCATGTACATGTAGTAACTTGAAGGACACTGTAGGAGATGTGTGTATACTATATGTACTGAAGATACACCGCATGTGCGTACTATTTTCCCCGCATGAGGCCTGATTGAATGTGAAGCGGGCGGTGGTGGCATGAAGGATAGCGTCATGCGGCTCTAAGTGCTGCTTTTTTTCTGTGTCTGGTTCCTGCAGGATGGACATTCATTAAGCTGGGACTACATTCTCAGCCATGACAGGTATGTGTATCTAGTGATGTCTCTGTTTGACAGTGGCACTGTCGTATTAATGTGACCACCTGCTGGAGTGTGGCAGCCAGTCCAGTTGGTCTGGCTTGCGGCTGGACCCAGTTTTAGTCAACCAGCCCTCTTTCAGTGTTGGAGAAAAAGAGGTAAAGCCCAGAATTTGTTTTCCAGTGACATGCCTGTATCCAGCTGTATTGGCTTGACCACACACAGCCACTACGCGCCTTATAGTGACTGTGTGTAACTGGTCCAGCCAATACAGACGGCCTGGCCTGTGTTCAGAGGCTAACTGTCTCAGTCACACAACGATGTCTATAATTATGTAGAACCTGTCTTGAAGAGTCGCCTGTTTAAAAGACCCTGTTTCTCCGGGACTTGCAGTCTAGGCGCAGGCTTAACAGTATGGTGTAGATCAAGAATGCTTCATGTAAAGCCCTGTTCATACGCACAATATTGATGTATTTATGAACTGCTCACCACACCTTCCGTACATAGATATGGGTTTCATTATGCATTCTATGCATACAGTATACAATACCGTAAGCGCCCCTATTAATGCCCACCCAGTATAACGCCCGCTGCCCGTGTACACGCCCAGGTGCCGATGTCAAAACTCTTGTCTCAGTCTTCGGGATGCTGAGCCGAATGGTCTTGGCCCGAGAAAGCTGAGACCCTCCCTTCCTCCTTTATTCCCAATCGAACTCGCCACTTCCACCGAAACTGGGTGACTGCACCCTACTAGATGGGGATTTGTATTCAAAAAGTCACTAAAAGCGCTATTTCATTCTTATAAAAGCAAAGCAATCTTCAAGGGCCATTAGCGGTGAGGTTATGTCCTGAAATTGGTGATAGACCACCACCATAGTCTGCTACATGTCCCCAAGCACCAACAAGTGGTCTTGACTAAAGTTATCCACTAAAAATCACCTGGGGGGGGGGGGGGGGGGATATTCAAATTTCGAACTCTCCAACGGCCAACAAGCTTTTCTTTCGTGGCAGCTTTCTTGGCGCGTCATGTCCAAGTAAATTGTGTCTCGTTGAGCAGCTGACAAGTTCTTCGAAAGCTTCTTCCGCTTTGCAGAGGGAGTGAAATCTGTTATTTTGTTGTTTACTGGAGCCGAGGGTGGCATGCTGGGGGCTGGGAGCTGCTGTGGCATTTCTAAGTCCTCTAAGACTTCCCGATCATCGTCACTTGTATCCTCAGTCATATCATAATCAGTGACATCCGCACTGGCAACAGGCAGTAGAGATCCTGATGCAGCAGATGATATGGCGCCAGCCACAGACGTGACCACATGACAACCACCCCAAACAAGGGACAACTTTTCCCAGTTCTCAACAATAAGACGGCCACTGCCAGAACGAGTGCCTTCTGTCACCGCTGTTCTGAACTTTTTCCTGATTGCCCGCACCTTTTTCCTTCACCCTTATCCGACCGACAAAGTGGACAGTTGTCGTTAAGGAAAAGGTCACTTATATCCTCAGCCGTATCATAATCAGTGACATCCGCACTGGCAACAGGCAGTAGAGATCCTGATGCAACAGATGATATGGCGCCAGCCACAGACGTGACCGCATGACAACCACCCCAAACGAGGGACAACTTTTCCCAGTTCTTAACAATAAGACGGCCACTGCAAGAACGAGTGCCTTCTGTTGCCGCTGTTCTGAACTTTTTCCTGATTGCCCGCACCTTTTCCTTGTCACTTATATCCTCAGCCATATCATAATCAGTGACATCCGCACTGGCAACAGGCAGCAGACACCCAGATGCAGCAGGTGATATGGCGCCAGCCACAGAAGTGACCGCAGGACAACCACCCCAAAAAAGGGACAACTTTTCCCAGTTCTCAACAATAAGACGGCCACTGCCAGAAAGAGTGCCTTCTGTCGCCGCTGTTCTGAACTTTTTCCTGATTGCCCGCACCTTTTCCTTCACCCTTATCCGACCGACAAAGTGGACAGTTGTGGAAAAGGTCACTTATATCCTCAGTCATATCATAATCAGTGACATCCGCACTGGCAACAGGCAGTAGAGATCCTGATGCAGCAGATGATATGGCGCCAGCCACAGAAGTGACCGCAGGACAACCACCCCAAACAAGGGACAACTTTTCCCAGTTCTCAACAATAAGACGGCCACTGCCAGAACGAGTGCCTTCTGTCACCGCTGTTCTGAACTTTTTCCTGATTGCCCGCACCTTTTTCCTTCACCCTTATCCGACCGACAAAGTGGACAGTTGTCGTTAAGGAAAAGGTCACTTATATCCTCAGCCATATCATAATCAGTGACATCCGCACTGGCAACAGGCAGTAGAGATCCTGATGCAGCAGATGATATGGCGCCAGCCACAGACGTGACCACATGACAACCACCCCAAACAAGGGACAACTTTTCCCAGTTCTCAACAATAAGACGGCCACTGCCAGAACGAGTGCCTTCTGTCACCGCTGTTCTGAACTTTTCCTGATTGCCCGCACCTTTTCCTTCACTCTTATCCGACCGACAAAGTGGACAGTTGTGGAAAAGGTCACTTATATCCTCAGCCATATCATAATCAGTGACATCCGCACTGGCAACAGGCAGTAGAGATCCTGATGCAGCAGATGATATGGCGCCAGCCACAGACGTGACCACATGACAACCACCCCAAACGAGGGACAACTTTTCCCAGTTCTTAACAATAAGACGGCCACTGCCAGAACGAGTGCCTTCTGTCACCGCTGTTCTGAACTTTTTCCTGATTGCCCGCACCTTTTTCCTTCACCCTTATCCGACCGACAAAGTGGACAGTTGTCGTTAAGGAAAAGATCACTTATATCCTCAGCCATATCATAATCAGTGACATCCGCACTGGCAACAGGCAGCAGACACCCAGATGCAGCAGGTGATATGGCGCCAGCCACAGAAGTGACCGCAGGACAACCACCCCAAAAAAGGGACAACTTTTCCCAGTTCTCAACAATAAGACGGCCACTGCCAGAAAGAGTGCCTTCTGTCGCCGCTGTTCTGAACTTTTTCCTGATTGCCCGCACCTTTTCCTTCACCCTTATCCGACCGACAAAGTGGACAGTTGTGGAAAAGGTCACTTATATCCTCAGTCATATCATAATCAGTGACATCCGCACTGGCAACAGGCAGTAGAGATCCTGATGCAGCAGATGATATGGCGCCAGCCACAGAAGTGACCGCAGGACAACCACCCCAAACAAGGGACAACTTTTCCCAGTTCTCAACAATAAGACGGCCACTGCCAGAACGAGTGCCTTCTGTCACCGCTGTTCTGAACTTTTTCCTGATTGCCCGCACCTTTTTCCTTCACCCTTATCCGACCGACAAAGTGGACAGTTGTCGTTAAGGAAAAGGTCACTTATATCCTCAGCCATATCATAATCAGTGACATCCGCACTGGCAACAGGCAGTAGAGATCCTGATGCAGCAGATGATATGGCGCCAGCCACAGACGTGACCACATGACAACCACCCCAAACAAGGGACAACTTTTCCCAGTTCTCAACAATAAGACGGCCACTGCCAGAACGAGTGCCTTCTGTCACCGCTGTTCTGAACTTTTCCTGATTGCCCGCACCTTTTCCTTCACTCTTATCCGACCGACAAAGTGGACAGTTGTGGAAAAGGTCACTTATATCCTCAGCCATATCATAATCAGTGACATCCGCACTGGCAACAGGCAGTAGAGATCCTGATGCAGCAGATGATATGGCGCCAGCCACAGACGTGACCACATGACAACCACCCCAAACGAGGGACAACTTTTCCCAGTTCTTAACAATAAGACGGCCACTGCCAGAACGAGTGCCTTCTGTCACCGCTGTTCTGAACTTTTTCCTGATTGCCCGCACCTTTTTCCTTCACCCTTATCCGACCGACAAAGTGGACAGTTGTCGTTAAGGAAAAGATCACTTATATCCTCAGCCATATCATAATCAGTGACATCCGCACTGGCAACAGGCAGCAGACACCCAGATGCAGCAGGTGATATGGCGCCAGCCACAGAAGTGACCGCAGGACAACCACCCCAAAAAAGGGACAACTTTTCCCAGTTCTCAACAATAAGACGGCCACTGCCAGAAAGAGTGCCTTCTGTCGCCGCTGTTCTGAACTTTTTCCTGATTGCCCGCACCTTTTCCTTCACCCTTATCCGACCGACAAAGTGGACAGTTGTGGAAAAGGTCACTTATATCCTCAGTCATATCATAATCAGTGACATCCGCACTGGCAACAGGCAGTAGAGATCCTGATGCAGCAGATGATATGGCGCCAGCCACAGAAGTGACCGCAGGACAACCACCCCAAACAAGGGACAACTTTTCCCAGTTCTCAACAATAAGACGGCCACTGCCAGAACGAGTGCCTTCTGTCACCGCTGTTCTGAACTTTTTCCTGATTGCCCGCACCTTTTTCCTTCACCCTTATCCGACCGACAAAGTGGACAGTTGTCGTTAAGGAAAAGGTCACTTATATCCTCAGCCATATCATAATCAGTGACATCCGCACTGGCAACAGGCAGTAGAGATCCTGATGCAGCAGATGATATGGCGCCAGCCACAGACGTGACCACATGACAACCACCCCAAACAAGGGACAACTTTTCCCAGTTCTCAACAATAAGACGGCCACTGCCAGAACGAGTGCCTTCTGTCACCGCTGTTCTGAACTTTTCCTGATTGCCCGCACCTTTTCCTTCACTCTTATCCGACCGACAAAGTGGACAGTTGTGGAAAAGGTCACTTATATCCTCAGCCATATCATAATCAGTGACATCCGCACTGGCAACAGGCAGCAGACACCCAGATGCAGCAGGTGATATGGCGCCAGCCACAGAAGTGACCGCAGGACAACCACCCCAAAAAAGGGACAACTTTTCCCAGTTCTCAACAATAAGACGGCCACTGCCAGAAAGAGTGCCTTCTGTCGCCGCTGTTCTGAACTTTTTCCTGATTGCCCGCACCTTTTCCTTCACCCTTATCCGACCGACAAAGTGGACAGTTGTGGAAAAGGTCACTTATATCCTCAGTCATATCATAATCAGTGACATCCGCACTGGCAACAGGCAGTAGAGATCCTGATGCAGCAGATGATATGGCGCCAGCCACAGAAGTGACCGCAGGACAACCACCCCAAACAAGGGACAACTTTTCCCAGTTCTCAACAATAAGACGGCCACTGCCAGAACGAGTGCCTTCTGTCACCGCTGTTCTGAACTTTTTCCTGATTGCCCGCACCTTTTTCCTTCACCCTTATCCGACCGACAAAGTGGACAGTTGTCGTTAAGGAAAAGGTCACTTATATCCTCAGCCATATCATAATCAGTGACATCCGCACTGGCAACAGGCAGTAGAGATCCTGATGCAGCAGATGATATGGCGCCAGCCACAGACGTGACCACATGACAACCACCCCAAACAAGGGACAACTTTTCCCAGTTCTCAACAATAAGACGGCCACTGCCAGAACGAGTGCCTTCTGTCACCGCTGTTCTGAACTTTTCCTGATTGCCCGCACCTTTTCCTTCACTCTTATCCGACCGACAAAGTGGACAGTTGTGGAAAAGGTCACTTATATCCTCAGCCATATCATAATCAGTGACATCCGCACTGGCAACAGGCAGTAGAGATCCTGATGCAGCAGATGATATGGCGCCAGCCACAGACGTGACCACATGACAACCACCCCAAACGAGGGACAACTTTTCCCAGTTCTCAACAATAAGACGGCCACTGCCAGAACGAGTGCCTTCTGTCACCGCTGTTCTGAACTTTTTCCTGATTGCCCGCACCTTTTTCCTTCACCCTTATCCGACCGACAAAGTGGACAGTTGTCGTTAAGGAAAAGATCACTTATATCCTCAGCCATATCATAATCAGTGACATCCGCACTGGCAACAGGCAGTAGAGATCCTGATGCAGCAGATGATATGGCGCCAGCCACAGACGTGACCACATGACAACCACCCCAAACAAGGGACAACTTTTCCCAGTTCTCAACAATAAGACGGCCACTGCCAGAAAGAGTGCCTTCTGTCACCGCTGTTCTGAATTCTCTGAGTTTCATGCCTTCGCAAATCATCGGGCAACATGAGGATGCTACTGGTATACATGCCAGGAGAGATATTGGTGGGTCTTGTGGCGCTGTGTTGAAAGCTGTGTGTGAATACGGGGGCTGTATAGGTTTCATGCACATGTATACAGATTCTTTTTAAGAAGAAAATATTCTTGATTCACAGCAGGGAGTTGTAGCATACAGGGAGATGATGCGTGCGACTGTAATCATAAGTCATGTGTATTTCAGCAGGTCGAGGCCGCGATCGTGAGTTGCATAGACCGAGGAGGACAAAGAACTTCCAAATCCGGGGTCGAAACGCAAATCGTTTCGGGTACACTCATACCCTGTTTACCCGGGCGGTCCGGGACTGGGCACTGCTGTTGACTTCGAAATGTCCGGAACTCCGAATTATAATTATTCGTTTTGATGGAGAAAGACTATACAGTAGATACGGCCTATGGCATCTCCCCACAAAAATGACAAAAGAGTAATAATATTTCCGCTAAAACTCGCCCAAAGGGTACCCGGTAGACCGAAGTGCCCGTAACTTCGGCCCGTTTGGGCAAACCATTAAGTTGCATGTAGTGGCCAGGCTATTTTTTTATCCAATCCATTGGAAGTGCCAGGTTTCTCTTCTCATCAGGCTTGTGTTCAAACTAGGTCTTTCTTTGTATGTCTACACAGAACCAGGCTTATGTGCCCATGGTTCATCTTGAAATTCAGGCTTGGTGCCCATGGTTCATCTTGAAATTCAGGCTTGTGATGTTGCCTTTTTTTTACAAGAATGACTCACAATTATTTCTCTCTCTCTCTCTCTCTCTCTCTAGTCTTGCTGTACTACTGCTGAATACGTCACGCGATGTCTTTATCTTTGTAAAGCAATTTAGACCAGGTAAGGGCTCCTTTGATATTACAGTAGACTTCTGATGAGACGCACCTCCATGTGCAACTGGAAAGTGTAATAGTTATTAGCATACGATGTATGTGTCTAGCACAAGCACGCACACGCCAGCACACTTACCGCATTTTTCGGAGTGTAAGTTACACCTAGAACTCTTGTCACGAAATATCTACCCTGTTTCTCACGGTTAATTTGACCATGGTAGTATAAGCCTTTTCGGGCTGAGTTACGTGTGTTTAAAGTGCGGCTGATACTGCGGAGAATACGGTACATGTGTGTTTTTGTGTGCGGGAGCGTGAGAGAGACTGACAGACAGACAGGGACAGAGAGAGACGTAGAGAGACGGACAGAGAGGGAGAGGGGAGGGAGAGAGAGAAAGAGAGGACAATTGAGTGGGTAGATGAGAGTGTGATCATCTAAAAAGCGAGCATCGTCAGCCGTATCAGTTCCCTAAGAGCCGATGCCAAGAGTACATAACCCTCAAGAGTGTGCAACTCCACTATGAGTGCTGTTCCGACAGAGTTTCAGGTTGATGTCATTTTAAGGATGCAATGCGCGCTGCGGTAAATATGTAGTATTAGACGTATCCCGGACCTGTGGTGCACAAACCCCCACTTAATCCTGTACAAACTAGTGTGTGGAAACGTGTGTGATGGGGCAGCAGGGTATGCTTGAGTTGCACACTCTTGGCGCTGCCTATAGAAGAGAATGAGCGCCTCAAGCATTGGAACTACAGTGCTGCTCAACGAAATCCAGTCGCGTCACTCAAGTGTGCGCCTTGCATCATTCCGCAGCACCGTGTTCGCAAGTCTAGGGCTGCGCAACGCCCGGTGCGTACTTGAGTGACGCGACTGGAGTTTATCGAGCAGCACTGCACTTCCTGTGCTAGGACCATGTCCACCAGAGAATCAGGGTTCTAGCCAGTAAATACTAGTTGGGAGGGGGGGGGGGGCAAGGGGAAACAGTCCACCCTTTTTTTTGGTTTCTTGGATACATTGTACCCTCAACCATGAAAGACTGTAGTCAACGTTCTTATTGTGTGGACCTGACGTAGACAATTCGCTGACAGTATTAGATTCACTGTTTGAATCTGGCATATGTTCTTCGCCTTTGCTTGATATCAGCTGTACTATTACTCTTCAAATTGTCCCTCTCTTAATTGTCACTCTTCAAATTTTCACTCTCCAAATTGTACCTTTCCAAACTGTCCCTCCCCAAATTGTCACTCTCCAAACTGTCGCTCTCCAAACTGTCCCTCTCCAAATTGTCACTCTTCTAACTTGTCCAGCTGTGCTCATGCATCTTGTCCACCAGCACATTGCTAACGACGGCAGCAGCAGCAGCACAGCATCAACTGTAGCATCAGGTCTCACTGACCAGACTGCCGGAGATGGTCCCGCTGAAACTCCCGCTGGCAATGGTGTTCAGCAGGCACGTGCGCCGGCTGGCCAGCTTCACTTTCCGCAATCTCCCGTCGACCCTGCGCGTGCCTGCTGCTACGAGCTGTGCGCTGGCTTGATCGACAAGAGCGGCAAGTCGCTACCGGAGATAGCGCGCGAAGAGGTGCTGGAGGAGTGTGGCTATGACGTGCCACTGTCGCGAGTCCACCGTGTCACCTCGTACCAGAGTAACGTGGGCGTGGGCGGCTCGCGCCAGGTTCTGTTCTTTGCCGAGGTGAGTGTGCCTAACGTGACAATGTATTCACCCCGGCATGCAGCTACGTGACATGCTACTTATGACACCCAGTGCTGCCAAATATTTTTCGCCCAAAATCGGACACCCTTCACCGCCAAGGCTGGCCACATGGTGCGAATTTTTCTCCTTAGAATTTTTTTTCCATAGAATTCAAAATATCGCCCAAAATACCATGAAAATTCGCTTTGTTGCCATAGTAACCGATATGGCACCCCGAAGTTGTAATGCACAGTGCAGTCTATACATGTATGCCATCCAGGCATTTTACGCTAGCCTTTTTATAAGCACATGTACAGTGATTTGTGCCTTCAGTTGCGCTGAAAAGTGAAAATACAGGACTTCTGCATAGGGAAGTACTGATCCCTGACATTTTGGCTGCTTTTCGGACGTTTCCTTTTCGGACCGGTTTTCGGAAGAGCCTTCAAAAATCGGACGGTTTGGCAGCACTGGACATCGTACTTGCTAGAGCGTAAAGCATGCTGCGTAATGTCGGAGCATAATGAATGATGCTATGCAGCGCAACTCCTTTTGGCCAGATATGTGACCATTCCCCTTGCATGTCTACATGCACTTTGACTGCTAAGGTCGCGGTCACACATGAAAAGCTTGCACCGCTTTTGCGGAGGCGGAAAGCGGAACTACCGCAGCCCCTTTGGCGGACCACACGATGCAGCGGTCACACATACATGCGGACTACTGTGCTCCTCAACGCTCAGCTTTGGCGGAGAGAATGCAAATGCAGCACGTCCTATGAAATTTTAGATGTTCTTGTCCGAGTTGAAGCGACCTTCGCTTGTACAAGTAGAGCTATCGTGGATCGCTGACAGGCTGCTGAATGTCTCCTGTCAAGTACACTCGTGGATTTGGGGCGCATTCACTGCGGCCCAGTACAGGTGCATTTGAATATTACTAGTTTGGTTTACATCAAGATCAAATTCAAATAGTTATCAGTGGCGGGTTTGGGGGGGGGGGGCGCCCCCCCCCTCAAAAATTTCGACCTAGGTTTCGAAAAATAAAAGGCAGGGCGCCGGGTCTAGCCAGACTAGGCTCGGGGCGCGCGCGGCCTGAAACGATTGTCCAAAAGCGGTTGCACGGTACGGTGCTCGAGCTGGTGTTGATTGTACACACTACAGACTAGTACAGTACATTATCCCATGGTACGGTACTATAGGCCTGTTTCAGCCAATCAGGAGCCTTGCTGACCGGGAAATAATAGCCAATACAATCCCGCGCGGGATGAGATTAACTGGGTTCACTTTTACCGTACCTACTACGGTGCACCCTGCATTGGCATGCCCCCACCCCCTCTCGATTCGATGCAATGCATCTTGCCACTGGAGCCTTTCGATCAGAACCCAGCGACAAAATGCACTACACAGAACCGTGAGAGGGTGGGAGCATGCCAATGCAGAGTGCACCGTCGGTACAGTAAAAGTGAACGGAGAGAACTTACCTCCGCGACTACGTCCGAAACCAGATTCCACACAAACAAACAACGAACTCCAATCACTATTCAACTCAACACTACGACACAAAGGAGACTTCGAAGTGCATCTGTTCTCATTCACTCTTTGTAAACTCGAAAACTACACAAAGTATCAACATCCGAGTGAAACTTACTAATTGCAAGGAGAGATACCGTAACAACTCGAAAAGTACAAGACGTGAAAGTGAGAGGAAAAATATTGTACAGAATATTCAACAGTGTGAAAGAAGAAGAGCTCAGCAATCCATGTGTGATGTAGATAAGATATGGATGCAAGATGCGACCCGCAGTGATTATCATGACATTGTATCCAGTACGATTACCACAAGAACAATCTAAAACGTAGATGCTGCTACAAATCCAGTATGCCTATAATATAACAAGATCAACGTTCTACTGATTGCATAGTGTCCGAGAGTGATACAACGAAGAGTCTTGATACAACGAAATGCACTTTACTCACTGGTGCCAATGTCCGACGATATGTACAATGTGGTTACTGCCTGCACGGACAGTGTTCAGCAAGGATCCCAAACCGTTGAAAGTTCCACGCCGATCCAATGACAAGGAAGTCAGCACCAGCCTCCATAATGACGTGGTATCTTGCCGTGACTTGAAGTATGGCCCTTACTTCGAACCAAATGACTATGTATCATAACAGTGCAATCTTCGTAAATTCTCTAGTCCAACTACTAAAATGCAACTTGTCTCCCGAGCTCCATCGCTCTCAAACCTTGACTGGATTGAAAAGAAAGGCAGCATCTTGTTTTTGGTATAGCTGTACCTTGGTAATTGTATTCAGAACGCAGTTGCGTCGATCCCCAAAATGCGTAGATGTACCTGGGATAAGTAGGATATTGACCCGCGTACTCGGGTGTTACCGTACCCTCATATCATCCCTCCTGCTACGCAGTCGGGATGATATTCGGGAGGTAACACCCTCGTACTTGGGTAATAGGGAGGTTTAGTCCCACGTAATCCGTGGGTACTTTACGTGTGTGTACCACGTGATACTCAGTGACCCACGTACAGACGTTTTCTGATTCACAACATACCGTGTATGGAGGCTCACCCACGTTCCGCCAAAACGTGGGTGAAAATCAGAACGGAGCGCATTGTGCGAGCTGTGAGGGTGCTCAGCTGAAGAAGTTTCCGAGGCACGAAATCAAAATATTGGATGAGCTTCTTAGGCCCGGGTAGCTTCGTCTTTGACCAGGTTTGGGCCTTTCGCTTTATGCTTTTGTTTGTTCCGTGTGACTTAACACAACATTGCAACGTCGGTGCCCTTCATCCACTTTACGTGGATCACCCACGTAGATCTACGCGTTTCCGTTACGTGGGAACTAAACCTCCCTAGTATCCTATACGTCTACGTCTACAGAGTAGAGTCTACGTACAGTGAGCATGCACGGCTACAGAAACACGGTGACCTGACTGTGTACTGTTGTACAGTGTGCATGTGATCCCTGGCCTGCTGGGACGCGCTCGACGCGTCTTCAACGGTACAAACATCGAAGAAAAGTCTTCGATCGAGTCAACCAAAACATGATTCGAATGCCGAGGGCTCAGGCGATCATCCTCGTTCGAATCGTGTTTTGGTTGACTCGAAGGCTTTTCTTCGATGTCTCAGGGACATCCCAAAAGGCCAAGCTCTAGCCAGCAGAGCCTGGAATTTTTGTAAAGCGTTCCTGTCGCGGCGCAACTCCTGCTGCCGCTCCAACAGGAAACAGTGGGAGTGATGAAGTCGCTGTTATTCCAGTTGAACTTTCGGAGCGGACTGACAGTTTAGGGTTTTACGTCGGGCCCTAGACGACGGCTACTTTGGCCAACCGGACAACGAAGAAGTTGTGACCAAAGAGCATGATTTTATTTCTTGCGCATGCGTTTGTAGAATGACGTAATACTCTGTGAGTCAGGTCGCTACAGTACTCCCCCGCCAGTGGTGAGGCCGGGAGGAGCGAAGCACGATAAACAAGAAACAAGAAAGAGAAGAGAAAGGAAAGCGCAGCATGTACAAGGCGGAAGGGCAAAAATATAATAATATGATACATATGTACAAGCGAGAGCGCTGCATGTGTGAAATTTGTTAAACAACGTGGCACAAATGCCGAAACAAAAATCAAAATGCAGAAAGCGGAAATGAGAGAGATGCATGACAGAGGCGGGTTAACATGTCAGAGGTGTGTTAACGTGACAGAGGTGGAGAGTATGTCAGAGGCAGAAAGAAAGAAAAGAGGAAATGTACGCGTGACAGAGGAGTGTTATCGTGTCAGAGGCGGAAAGAAAGGAAATGTACGCCTGACAGAGGAGTATTATCATGTCAGAGGCGGCTGCATGTTGCAGGCTTGGCGGGATACCAGCAGGAGCGCTGCACTGGGGCGAGGCGTGCCGAGTGCGGCGGGGACAGATGGAGGCAAGCGCAGCTTCATGGGGTCCGGTGCCGGGCGTGTGCCTGCGTGCGTGCACAGTGAGGGAGCTGGTACGACGGGTGGAGGTGGCCAATTTCCAGCTTGAGGCCAGGACGAATACGGACGACGACGACGACTGGACGATGCCGTGGCAGGATAGCGGGGTATCCAGGTGGGCCGGGGAGGGTGGCAGGGGCCACAGCAGCTCCGAGGCGGATCCAGTGGTGGTGAGGCTCAAGTTTTACGTCAACAGCCGGCGATTGACGGGATCCCAAGAGTTGAGGCGAGCAAGAAACTGCGGCGGGCCGAGCTCGGGGATGGCATGCTCAAAACTCCGAAGAGCGCAGCGTCAGGGGTCACCAATTTAGGATTTTACGTCGGGCCCTAGACGACGGCTACTTTGGCCAACCGGACAACGAAGAAGTTGTGACCAAAGAGCATGATTTTATTTCTTGCGCATGCGTTTGTAGAATGACGTAATACTCTGTGAGTCAGGTCGCTACAACAGTCACACTCCGCCAGACGTGGAAGAACCTGTTGTCAGCGAGCAGCCAGAACATGAAGAACAGCGCACAGTCACAAGTACCGCTGCCTATGTAAAGGATGCTTTGAGAGCGGTGAGAAATTGTTACTCGCATAAACGAGAGAGCTTGGAAGCTCAGGGCCCTACGCTATGCTTTTATGCTTTTTTGCCTAGCTCATCGTACATGTTATAAGAACTGATGGAATTGTCTTTTTCCGTTCATTGGCCACATCACTGTATTGCAAAAACGTTTCAATCGGTTTGAATATTATGAGTTAGGCAAAAGTATTTGCAGAATTTATTGCGGATTGTTGTTTCTCTAATAATCATCTACTTTTGTTTTGCTCCTTCTATTATTTTTATCTCCTTATATTGTAAATCAACAAATTTTGGCCGATGAGAAATAGAAACCTCTCGATTAGAGAGGTTAAGATGCACGTTATTTCCGACGTGACGCGCAGCTTCACGTCAAATTTGAAATCGATCGGTATTTTTGCTCTCACATGCATCCATTGCTCAATCATGCATCATTTGCCTATACAGTAAGATCGGGCGCCGAAGA